ATGAGCAAGAGAGTGCCCCAGTCATAGTACTTTTATCTGAAAACGATTGGAAATCAACTTGTTCTTTATAAAGGCATAGAAAGGGAAATTAAAATGAGTCACCTGCACTTTTTATTAATGGCTTAAAAAGAAGAACAGGGAATTTTCCAATGTGAGCCAAGATGATGCTCTTTAAAAGCGTGAGAAGCTGTGGTCACTGACTGATAGCAGGAAGTTTCTCATCTGACAAATTCATTTTCCTGCCAAGTGGTATTTTAAAAATATTAATAATTTATTGCTCTTGGATATTTGTTTCTCCCCTTGGCTTTGAACAAGGAGTTTGCAAACCCTTGGTGATTGCATAATCTCAGTGCAGGGATTTTAGGTGACAAAGAAAGTCACAAGAATGAATTTTAAGAGGTTTCCCCCTTTTTCCATGTGTGAAGATCCCTCGATTTGGAGTCAGCCCGTGAATTTGAATCCAAATGTTGGCTCAACCACTTGTTAGCTTTAAGACTTCAGGCAAAGTCTTTAATGCCTGACTCTCAATTTCTCTCAACTAGAAAGTGAAGAGGACTGGTCTAGATGACCCCTGAAATGAAGAGCTTATCTTTTATATATATCTATATCTATATCTATATCTATATCTATATCTATATCTATATATATATATAATATATATATACAAAAGGCTAATGGAAAAACTTTTTGAAATGCCTTTTGTAGATTTCCAAAGAGTGTAAGTAGCTAGATTGTAATTTCACTGTCATCTTCAGAGTACCTAGGCACTTAACTCAATATGCCGTTATGTTCCCACGGACATCAAATGAACCTTCTCGGGGCTGGAACAGCCCACTACCCCTGCCCTAGCAAAAGCCCTTCCAGAAAACATTCCTGAGGTCTGCTGGTTATTTGGCCTGAGATTAGCTTCTCCCTCCCTCAATCCAAGTTGCATAAAAGGCAACATTTTTGTGCTGTTTGTAGGGAAAAGCTAAAGTTGTAGCAATCTTCAGAAGCACGTCGTCAAAACTACTTGTACTTCTCAGAGGGAAAAGTTGGAGTGTCTTTGAGGGCTTGATAAATGAGTCTGTGTGTGAAGCAACTGACCTCTGAGACAATTGTCACCAGCTACTTGCTTCATTTCACAATTATCTAGAATTGGGGGAACATTGATATTTCACTCCTTTTACAACACAAAAGAAATCGTTAAAAAAATCAGCTCACATTTTCTTGCCTTCAATTCCTCTGCACTTTCTGCCCTCTCCCCCTGCTTTGTGCATAGAATCATGAAATGTAAAAGCTAAGACTCCATCTTGTCTTTAAGTATTTGGAAGGCTGCCATACGTGGAAGGGATTTTTGACTTGTTCTGCTTAGCCCCAGAGGATAGAACTGGGAGCGCTGGGTGGAAGACACTGGGAAGTAGATTTAGGTTTGATGTCAGGACAAACTTCCCAACAGTGAGTTTGGAAAAGTGGAATGGGTCTTAAAGCAGTCGTTAGATGACCCATTTGGGGGCATGTTGTAGCACGGAGCCCATGTGTGTATGGGTTGGGCCAAACGGCTACACAAGTCCCTTTCAACTCTCAAATTCTGTGATTCTGTGAAGCAGGCAATCAACAAGTGGGACTTTATTAAGCACCCACCATGTGTCTGTCAGTAAATAGTTAATAATTGCTTGTTGACTATTGAATGACTTTTTTAGGCTCTGGGACAAAAATTCATTGAGACATGAGTCAGCTCTAGATCTATGATTTTAACCCAGGTGTTCTGACTCTGAACCAAGTGTTCTTTCCACTGAATTCATTTGGAGAGTCTTAGTTGCCAGGGGGTGGGGAGCGGGCGCCCAGTGATTGATTTGCTGAGGGTCACAGAGCCAATTGATTGGTCAGAGGTGGGCCTTAAAGGTAGGCGTGATCTCTTTATTTTATAGGTGGGGAAACTGAGGCCCTGGGAAGGGAAGGGACTTGTCCAAGAACAAAACTGGGTCTAGAATTGAAAGTTCCTCCTATCTTCTGTTAATTGGGTTTTTAATAGTTTTCAAATAGTGATTTCATCTCCTTACTCTCATATCAACTGTGGCACATTTCCCATCTTTTCTTATTGCTCTTTGTACTTGGCTCAAGCCTGTGTTGTCCCAACTACACCATTGGCAAAGGCTGCAAAGGCCGATTTATGCTCTAAAGTGCAGGATTATTTCCCCACTTGGTCACAGGATCACAAGTCATGTGAAATCGCACTTACTGTTGTTATTATTACTATGTATGTGTGATTGATGGCTTGTATGGTGGAATCACAGAACTGAAACGGACCTCATTGGCCATCTAATCAAACTTGTAACTGACCAAGAATCCCTACTATAGCACATCTTTGAACAAGTGGGCATCCAGCCTCTGCTTGAATGGGGAAGGGGCTAAGCATTTATATGGCAGGCCCTACGTGTCAGGCACTTGGCAAATATTATCTGCTTTGCTTGGAGGCCTTCAGTGATGAGGAAGCTACTACTTCTTGAGACAGCCCCATTCCACTATGGAATTCCTCTACCCTCTAGGGCCAAGCAGAGCAAGTTGAATCCCCTTTCCACCTTGGTAGTCCTTCAGATACTTAACTATAGATACTTAACTATCGTACTTTTCACCTTAGGGCAGGCCAGCCCACCTTACACACCTTTCCCAAAGAGAGAATGGTGCTGGGCTACTGAATAAGGGTTCACTGGATACATTATGGAAGAGATCTGGATCAGAGGACTAGGTCTGAATTTCAGCTTTTAGTTGCAAGACCTTGAATCACTTCCCTCCTCTGAGCCTCAGTTTCCTCATCTGTAAAATGAGTTCAACTAGGTGACCTCTAAGGTCCTTCCCAAATCTAAATCTATGACTCTGATTTGTCTAGGGATAAAAATGTACGCACAGCACTTAGCTGACCTTCAGTGTTTTAACGTTTATCATCCTTACGAAGTTGCTATTTACCGATCAGAAACATTGGCATTTCCAGTGGTTTCATTTTCTGACCTCGGTTCCAAGGGAGAGTTCAAACAACTTTTGCCAAGTTAACTCTGAGACAGGGTGTGGTTTCCTGAGCTCCCTCTGTGCAGTTTGGTTGTCCATGGCAACGTCACCAAACAACTTTGACATGTGTTTGTATAAAAAACCAGAAGGCACTAGGGCAGTCAATGTAGCTGGAAATCAGTGGTGAGTACTGGGCCTTATCTTTTTTTCATTCTTTCCATCTGAATTGCATGCATGTTGCGTAAGGAAGTAGATGGAATCCAAGCAAATAAGCTACTTAATTCCTGAATTACCTGGATAAGTTAAATATGTGGTATATACTTAATGCACGAAGATTCCCTCTGGAGGAAGGCAGGGCACAGATGGCAGGTCTGTTTAAAGCAAATTCTATGTTTCTCTTTCTGGTTTGGGACCTTTTGGATGGTTGGGGCATGAGATAAATGAAAAGCTCCTTGAGGGCAGGGGATCCCCAGCCCTCAGCATGGTGCCAGGCACAAATGAGGTACTCAGTAAAATGCTTACTGAATTGGTTGGGAAGTTGGGGGGGGGATGACAAGGGGAGTTGTATTTTGAAAAATCTAATTCACATGCAAAATTTCCAGACTAGTATTATTAGTATATGGTATAAAATATATCTAAAATATATCATGTAAACACTGTTTTTACATGTATTTGGCACATCGTTTTATAAAATGTTTTCCCATTCATCACATGACCACAACTTGGTAGGGTAGACAAGGCAAGTATTACTGTCTCCACTTCATAGGTGAGGAAACCAAGAAGCTTGCTAATTGGCAGTCCTTCTATAGATTTATTATTGTTATCTATTTCACAAGCAGCTATACTGGGTTATTCCACTTTTCTTTGTTCATTTTTGTTGGAATATTTGATCTTAGAGAGGAGAGTAGAAGATAGATATAAGTGGATGTGAGAAGGAAGATGTGTGAGATTAGGAAGCCTTCAAGGTTAGGAATATTCTGGGAGATGGGGCAAGTGATGCCAGGACAGAAACAGAAGGAAAAACAGATCTAGGAGAAAGATGATGAACATTGTTTAAGGGGCCATCTAGGTGATGTTTTTAAACGGGTGTTAAGTTTGAAGTTCAAAAAACATCAAGGCTGTGTGCAGAAAGGTGGAATTGAAGCCATGAGAGGAAATGGAATTTACCAAGGTAGAGTATGAGAGAATAGAAGATTCAAGGGCCAAGGATAGGCCCTTGAGGAATACCCACCTCTGCACTTGGGCATACTTGAGTAGTTTTCCTTATTAGGCAGTAACACATGTTTTTGAGGAATTGCTTTTGGAAAAGGGACAGATGCAGCAATCATCCCCAAAGGTTCCAAGTGATGATCTTATTGGCATGGTTTTAAATATTCTGCCCAGAGACACAACCTCATAAGGTCCCCGTCTTGCTCCGTGTGACTCTTGTGAAATTTTGCAGGAAACCTATCTAGGTCAATTAGTATTAATCGGGTCCCTTTTGCAGACATGGGGAAAGTGAGGCACAGAGGACACGGTTGGATTGGCCTCTTTCACCTCCCTTTCCATCTCTATATAAAGGAATCCATCTGTTCTTCTCCCTGAAATCTTCCTGTTTTCATCGTGGGCGTACAGCTTTTTTTCCAGTTTCTTGCACTTGCGGCCTTAAGCCCCGCCTGCAAGCTGTGGCTTAGCTAGCTTGGTGGAGAGAAAACACCAGTCAAGTATCTCTCCCCTCTTTGCAGTCATATCTTAAAGCCTACCTCTCCTCAGTGTATGCTGGTGAACCTGGCCCACTCTTAAACCTTGAAGGATATGAAACTACACATTACATTTTTACTGCTCAAATGAGGCTAGGCCACGATTTTGGAGGAGACTGGAAACTGGCCTAGATACTTTACCAAGAGGTGAGGGACTTGAGGGATCTTTCTGCCTAGGTATCAGACTAAAAGAGTGTCTCAGGCACCTGGCCAGGATCTGTGCCTTCATTGCCTGTGACAGCCTCCCTGCTGAGTCTCCCTTCAATTTCCCCTCAGGTCCTGGAGGCTACACAGTGGGCACCATGTCTGAGAAGTTTGACTGCCATTACTGCAGGGACCCCTTGCAAGGGAAGAAGTATGTACAGAAGGAGGGCCGTCACTGTTGCGTGAAATGCTTTGACAAGTTCTGCGCCAATACTTGCGTGGAATGCCGGAAACCCATTGGGGCTGACTCCAAGGTGAGAATAACACTAATGGGGGCAGCTAGGTGGCGCAGTGGATAGAGCACCGGCCCTGGAGTCAGGAGGACCTGAGTTCAAATCTGGCCTCAGACACATAACGCTAATAGCTGTGTGACTCTGGGCAAGTCACTTAACCCCAATTGGCACGCCCCTCCCCCCCCCAAAAAACACTAATGGGGAAAACTCTCCCCTGGCTTCCTCCTTTTGAAGGTAACGTCAGTGGAGCACAAGTTCAAGGCTCTTCACCCAATTGGCCACAGAACACTTCTTGGTAGAGGGAGGCACCCACACTGTCACAGATCATCGAAATAATGCTCTTTTCCACAGTGAATAGTGCGGTGCTTGGCCTAATGCTTAATAGCCTGCATTTGTAGAATCTCTATTCTGTTACTTATCATCATCACCAGGCTTGCCTCAAGGCCCAATGAGAACACTGAAATTCAGAGAGATACAAAGGGATGGTGGTGGGGGAAGGATAACCCCGGGAGCCATAGTCCTACCATCCCAAGGACCTTAGCATTATCCCATTCCATGGATGTGGAAACTGAGGCCCACAAAGGTGAATTATTTCCCAAGGTCATATATATAGGCAGCAAGTGACAGAGCTAGGATTCAAAAGCTTGGTCCCCTAGTGTCAAATTGAACCCACTTTCCCCACTCTGTGCCACTCTGTGGAGCTTTGGGGGACATCTTTGGACTAAATAACCCCCTAGGTCCCTTCCAGTTCTCTTATTCTACCGTCTGTGACCTAAGATTGCTCAACTTGTTCCTGAAAGAGCTAGGACTAGACTCCGGGTCTCCTGACTAGAGGGGTGCCCTTCTCCTCAGGGCCACACTGTTCCCTCTACATAGGTGAGATTATACTTATATGTTAGAGCCTATGTACAAAAGCTAGACAGCTGATCTGACCCTGTATAAATAAGTTAAAATCACTAAGGCCATTTTAACTTATGAGGGCTGTTTTCAGATGTGAGCAGCCTGCACCAGTGGAAACTTACTTGGTGTTATAGAGCCTCACTGCAAATCTCTTAGAACCTAGCTGAATTCAGATACCTCCTAGTGGGTTGTCACTATCTGGGGTTTTCTAAGATTGAGAGGTAGCATGTGCTGGGTTTCTTGCATGGAATGTAGGAAACTCATTGGGTTTCCAAGTTAATAATAACCTCATAATGGAAAAACAATCTGAAATTGAAATGACCTTTTGCTTCTGAATAATCCTAAATAGTTCCCACTCACACTGTTACTTCCATTCTCTTTCTCTCCATTCTTCCTTTGTGGCCAACTCAAGGAAAAAGGTTAAAAACCCAACACTTTGGGTCATAATGAAGTTGTAATTAAAAGATGGTTGTTTCTCTGGTGATAAAATAAAGATGTGAAAAAGATTCACAGGTGGGGAATGTAGATGTCTCGGGGAAGATTCACTGTTCATCCTGGTTTGCTGTGCTTTTAGGAACTGCATTACAAAAACCGCTATTGGCATGACTCCTGCTTCCGCTGTGCCAAGTGCTACCATCCTCTGGCCAATGAGACCTTTGTGTCCAAAGAAAATAAGATCCTGTGTAACAAGTGCACCACTCGTGAGGACTCACCCAGGTGCAAGGGATGCTTCAAGCAAATTGTTGCAGGTACTTACCTCAGATAACCTAGAGGTCAGGACGGGGCATATGCATTGAACAGTACAGTGGGGCCTCCTTTGGTTCCAAGGTTGAAAGCTTTCAGGAAAAAGAGGCTATGCACCTTGTCAGAAGGAGGGCTTGTAGACATAGCTTTGCATCTCATAGATAATGTGTGTGAAATCACCCCCATGTCAATGTTAGCCTACCACTTGAGGCAACTGCCCCGTTCACGGCACTGTACCTCACAGAAATTCTAGTTAAGAAGCAGCACATTAGAGCCTGCCAGATACTAGGGAGCATCGTGTGGCTCAGATGGGAATTGATTCTGTGGGCATGTGGATTTGGAGGCAGACACAGTCCTAAGTTTATTCTCTCTTGCAGTGTTTCTGAAAAATGATAACTTTGAGCCTGTCTCCTCCCTGCCCAACAAGTGCAACATTTTGGAAAGAATACTCCTCCACCTTCTTTCCCCCTATTGGTAGAAGTTGGGATGAGAGAGGGAAGACTTTCAGAATGGAATAGAAATGTTTTACTGGATGCCACAATGGTAATTCAACTGCTTCCTCCCACAGGAGACCAAAATGTGGAATACAAGAAGAATGTCTGGCATAAGGATTGTTTCACTTGCAGTAACTGCAAACAGGTCATTGGAACCGGCAGCTTCTTCCCTAAGGGTGAAGACTTCTACTGTGTTACCTGTCATGAGACCAAGTTTGCCAAGCACTGTGTGAAGTGCAACAAGGTATGTTTTCAGGGAGGTTCCTTACTTCATTTATTAAAGCAGCTACTGTGTATAAGGTTCCATTTTTGGCATGGGAAAGTGCAAAGGATGAGAACTGGGAACAGTAACTCAGCCAGTATGACTGAAATGGAGAATACATGAAAGGGAGTAATGAGAAAGCTGGAGAAGTAACTTATTTTAAGAAGTGAGATTTAACCCAGACTAATTTAACAATTTCCCCCCTCACTGGTAAGCCCACAGATATTTTCCTTGGCATGTATTCCCTGTGCTATAACCAGCTCTTACCACAACAGCCAGGGCAGTGATACAGCTCTTTGTTAGCTCCCCCAGTTTGGTCCTGTATCAAAGCTTGAGTGGGTGTGGTCCTTACCTGTCAGTGTAGACATACAAAGGCCCAGTCTGATGGCATTCACATAGTCCCAGAGGAGAAGCAGTCAGTCTTTAACATTGACTTCTTGGTCTAGGCCATCACTTCTGGAGGAATCACTTACCAGGATCAGCCCTGGCATGGCGAGTGCTTTGTGTGTGCCACCTGCAGCAAGAAGCTGGCTGGACAGCGCTTCACTGCTGTGGAGGATCAGTATTACTGCGTGGATTGCTACAAGTCCTTTGTTGCCAAGAAATGTGCTGGATGTAAGAACCCCATCACAGGTAGGTTGAGGACTCTTCCCCGGGAAATTTTTCATGTTTGTTTCTTGCCCTCCTTGTTAGCACCACCTTGGTTCTAGGGGTCAGTGCTAGCCTGAGAATGTGGTGGAGAGTGGGAAGAGCACTTGAACTCTGCTACTCCTTCACTGTGTAACCCTGCCCAAGTCACTACTTTCTAGGCCTTACTTTTCCCTGCTGTAAGGACTGCGTTAGATGATCTAAGATCCTTTCCAGCTACAACATTCTATGAATCCAACATTAGTGAGGCTAGAGGACAGCAATGGTGTTTGGGTAGTCCCCAAAGTGGGTGCTTGGTTTGGGAATACATGACATAATGTAAACGTTTCCAACACTTGGCCAAGTGCTTTGCTTATAGCCCTTCAGTCAGGAATTTTTTGAGTGCTGAGTGATGCAGAATTTACCCTTAAGGAGCTGACAGTTTAGTAGCAGATCTTAGATTTGGAGCTGGAAGTGACTCTGTTGTTGTTGTCCAGTCACGTCTGACTCTTTGTGACTCCACTTGGGCTTCTCTTGACAAAGGTACCGGACTGGTTTGCCATTTCCTTCTCCAAAATAAGATTTATGGAAAGATAGGTCCCTGTCTTCTCCAAGAATCACATAAAATGAGAAGGCATGAGAGGATCACACTCTGTACTAGTGGAGGAAGCATCTATACTGATGAGATTATGTACCACCCAGTGTCCAAGTATCCTCCCAACCACCCGGTCAAGGAGGCAGGACAAGCATTCCTCCCATTTTGTTGCCGAGTCGTGTCAGACTCTTCATGACTCTATTTGAGGTTTTCTCGGCAGAGATACTGGAGTGGTTTGCCATTTCCTTCTCCAGCTCATTTTATATTTGAGGAAACTGAGACAAATAGGGTGAAGTGACTTGCCCAGGGTCACATAGCTAATAAGTGTCTGAGGCCAGATTTGAACTCAGGAAGATGAGTCTTCTTAACTCCAGGCCCAGCACTCTATCCACTGCTTATCCAAGATAAGCCACACAAGCAACAATGCAGGGTAGAAAGTTAGTAGGAGAAAGGTTGTTGTCAGTTGTAGAGGATAAAGATATTCGAAATTTTTAGGTTAGATTTTTTTTCCTTTTTAGTAATCAGGATTCATCCTTCTTCCCCTTTAATTTTTGTAGATATATTCTGTACTATGTAGAATAATTTTTCTTTTTAATCAGCCATTAGATAGAAGATGAGAAAAGGCTTTAAGGAGTTGGCACTTGAGCTGAGTCTTGAAGGATGAGTAGGAACTGGATAGGCAGAGAGCATCCTTGTCAGAGGAAACCAAGCACTCAAAAAGTCTGCCAAGAATTTAGGGGAAGAGAAGCAGGGATTTAAAATACCTCAGTGATGATGATCATTTCAATTCAGCAGACACTGAAGTGCCTGTAATATGTGCATTATAGGAGATACGGAAAGCTACCAGGAACAGTGACTTTGTGTTGGGTGAAAGTGCTGCCCACTGTAACTTGGCTCTTGACTAGCAGGGCCCAGTTCAAAGTGTCTTGGAAATCTTTAGGGAAAAGTGCCATGGGACACCTTGGGTTGTGGCACAGGAGTCAGAGTTCAGTGTACTCCACCACCACCCATGGGAAACTCTGGCTTTCTCAGGGCCAAAGCTACTGTCAGTAAAGAGGTAGAGCAACAGCTGCTTTTCCTTTTGGGGTGGTGGTTTTTCTTATATTAAAAGAACAGTCTAAGTTTGCCTCCTGGTGGCCACTTTGATGAAGTAGGGTGGCACACAGTGGCCACAACGATGGACATTTTTGAAAAGTAAAGAAAGTCATCAGCAAAAATGCTTCCTTGCAGAGGGGCTTCTGCTGGCCTTAGAGACGGAGATTAACCCTCAGGAGCAATTTCCTGCCCTCTAGCTCATTATTCTAGGGGAAAAGGGTGTGACTAAAGCAACTATGGTTTGTAAAAGAAGATCAGATTTCATTTCTCTTCCCTGAATTTAGTGCAGAATGGGCTAGGGAATCTTTTAAGTCCCACTAGTGTTATTTAAAACAACAACAATGACATCCTATTGGCTCACAACTTCATTGCTCTATTTTTTTTTCCAAGCAGTAAGCCTGAAAGCTTTCGGAAAAGAGAAGAAGGTATGAGTTAGGAAGTAAAAAGACTTGGTGTCCTGATTTGCTTCAGAGAGGAAAGCTTTTAGCTTGATTGTTTAGAAATGGCCAATAAAGCCCTAACTGTTAAGATGGTTAGGGAAAATGGGAAAATAGAAATCCCCTCAAAACCCCAAAGATTTCAGGTAATTCTCTGCACCTGAGCTGAACCCCATAGTTCAGCCTGCCCAGTGTCTCTGGGGACTGTGACTTGTCAGCGAATCTAGCTTTCTTTCTTGTTCCTCCTGAAGATGGTGGAGGGTAAATGGGGACCCACAGTGAAGTAGGACAGGAAAAGCCCTGGCCCATGGGAAAGTCACTGTTCCCTCAGCTTTGGTTTTCTCATCTGCCAAATGAAAGGGGGAGAGGGGAGGTGGATAAGGCTTAGAAGGGCTGTCTGAGAATTGAATCTGACAGATTCCAGTTGGAGGAGCTGAGGTTTCTGGTGACTCTAATTCACACCTTTCTTGGTGGTTTTTATTTTTCCCAACAGGCTTTGGTAAAGGCTCCAGTGTGGTCAACTATGAAGGGCAATCCTGGCATGACTACTGCTTCCACTGTAAAAAGTGTTCCATGAATCTGGCTAACAAGCGGTTTGTCTGCCACAATGAGCAGATCTATTGCCCCGACTGTGCCAAAAAGCTGTAACCAGACAGGGTCATCTGTCCTACAGAATGGAGCTTGAGTCCTACTCTCAAATGCTCTCTATATCTCTCATTTGAGCAAGACTTCAAAAAAATATCACAAATTTTAGCTTTTCTCTCATTTTACGGAATGGCTTATAAAAAGGTGCATGGTGACTGCCTTTGGTCCTAGGAATTAAAACTCTGCAGCAATCCCATTTAAACCTTGCTTTTGTTAGATAAGTATGAAGATTATTACTAAATAGATTTTAAGTTAACCTTAGTAGGTAGACGCTTATGCATGTTGCTTTAAAAAAAAACTAATCTTAAAAAACTAATTTGCCATATATAGCTAATGCTGTGAACAAATAACATACCTCCTGAGTCCATTGCTAAGATTCTCAGGAACGACAACATAGGCTTTAATCATCGTATACCTGATTGCATTATATCCGCAAATAGACCTGTAATCCAAAGCATAGTAGTAGCTGCCTTTACCATAATCACTAATGGGAGCTGAAGAGGGTCTTGTATTAATGACATGAGAGGTTTTGCCTTGTGCAAAGTATAATCTTATCTCTCTTTTTTCCTTTGTGTTTTAAAAGCAACTAATGCAGCATTTTATAGAAAGGCTCATGTTTGAAGTGAATTCCGATTTGAAGTAAGCTTTCTGTTGCTAATAGCTTTTGGCTTTTGTGTGTAGCATGTGTTCCTGTGCTTTCTTCTGAAGCATGCATGACATTTTGAAAATGTACGCTCATGAAGTAGTTTAGGTTATTTCTGATTAATTACAGCATGGCAAATAGCATTGAAAGCTTAGCTACTAAAATCGCTTTTTTTTTTAGCTGCTTTTATTAACCAGATTTTGCTTGGAAGTGTTATCAATAAAGTTAGTCAAGTTAACGAAACCTGCATGAAATCATTTTAAACTTTTGGATTGTTTATGCAATTTGGAAATGTATCCCATAGAAATAGTAAGAAAAGCACTAGCTAACACTGCCACAGTCATTGTATTTTTACATTAATTTCTGCTCCTTGTCTATTGATAAGGAGAAATGGACAGTTGACTTTGTAATGTTTAGTGGGGGAGGCCACTTTCGTCTCAAAATTGGAAAGCCATTGCTTTGTTGGGTACTAACACTTTGGAAACACCAGAATCGAGCGCCCCCCCCCCCACTACTAATGAGAACAGTAACTGCAATAATATTGTAATTTTAACAAGGCAATAATAAAATACATGTAACCATTTTGTCAGTGAGACAGGTAATGAAAGGGGCTATAGAGAAGTAGATCCATCCTGGTGCCCCTCCACCACAGTTTTGTCATCAATGACTTTAACATCTATTTTCCCAAATTATCATCTGGAAAATAAAGTAAAGTATAAATGGCTTGCCTACTGCCTTTTTTTTTTAGCGTTTAAAAAATCCAACCACATCAATAAGACCCAATCACGCTGACCTTCTTCAGATACCCTTGGCTCTATGATTTCCTTTACGCCGGCCAGTACTTATTGCAGTCCTATCCTTCACCTCCCAACAAGCCTTTGCTTGAAAGTCCTTCAGTGATGGGGGCCCTATTTTTACTTCTCCAGGAAACCCATTAGATAAGAAAATGAGTTCTGCAGGACAAAGTCCCTTGTAGGCTGACTGCACAGAGAGTTTAAGACTCATAGGTCTCCTAGGGAAAAAGAAATTAAAAACCTTGGCTATCAAACTGTAGCAAAGAATACACCAAAATTTCCATCAGTTTTGAAAATGAACGTCAAATTACTGACTGAAAGAAACTTGAAGACACGGACTGGTTAAAGGTCAGAGACTTAATGAAAGCATCTAAGAGAAAGTTCTTTTGCTATGAAGGAAAAAAAGGTCATTTTAGTAGCATAGGCTTGTGACTCATCTCTTAAGAAACTAAGTTGGATTCAACAAACATTTATTGAGCACCCACCATATGGCAGTGCCGTGACAGATAGAGCAGACCCTGGGCAAAGTACCACCCTCAATGCCCCAAGCAGTTCTCAAAGACTCTAACTTGAATAACAGTTACCAGTCTTCACTGGTGCAGGGAATTGCCTCACTGGGAATTCCTGACACCATGAAATCATGGTTACAAACAAAATCGTGCCAGGTATTGTACCATGTGACATATGGGACACAAAGATGAAATAGGCTCTTCCCTAAGGGAGCTTACATTTTACTGGGGGAAATTACACAAGTATGAAGTAAACAGTCATTTTCTTAGCAAGGAAGGACTAACAATTGGGGGCAAGGGGAAATAGGCAAAGGCCTAATAGAAGAACTTGAGATGAGCCTTGAATGATCCAGGGAATCCCAAATCAGGAAAAGGTGAGGGCAGAGAGATGGGAGAGGGCTTGTTACATCACATCTGGAGATTTTGCTGGAATTGACCATTTACTGGTCAATCAGACAAGAATATAGAGGAGGTAAAGAGAAGTAACAGGAAATCAATCTGGAAAGATGGAGTGGATCCATCTTGTGAAGGGTTTGAAATGCCAGCAATTATAACCTATGATCCTAGAGGCAATAGTGAGCCACTGACTTCTTGAGCAGTGTGGTGGCATGTGCTAGAAACCTAGAAAACTAGAACTGTGCTCTGAAAATAACAATTTGGCAGCTATTTGAAGGAAAGAAAGGTGGACTGGGTTAGGAGGCTGTTACAGCAGTAATCCAGATAAGCGGTGTTGAGGAGTCCGTAAGTGGGAAGAATGGGATATGAGAGGAAAAAATGGACAAGAGAGAAGGAGAATTCAAGGATGACTCCAAGGTCACAAACCAAGGGAGACTGGAAGAATGGCACTATTCCCAACAAATAGAAAAGGCAGGAAATGTTTCAGACTACTATGCGACATTTAGTAGGCTAGTCTGGTGGTTCAGAAACAGCTTAGGAGAGAGTGAATTATGTATATTTGGAAGCCATCTGCATAAAGATGATAATTGAATCTATGGGAATTCATGACATCAGCAAAAGAGAGACAGAAAGAAAAAGAGAGGGTCCAGGACAGAGGCCTACATAAGAGGGGAGAGATCATGATTCAGCAAACTCAACTGAACAGAATCAGTCAGACAGGTAGGAAGGAGGAAACCGGAGAGACCCATCATGAAAACACACAGAAGAGTGTTTCCAGGAGGAAGGAGTGGTCAACAGTGTCAAAAACTATAGGGAGAACCAGAAGGATTGAGAAAAGCCTACTGAATCTGGCAAATTAGATCATTGGTAACGTCGAAAACAGTGTCCTTCAAAATCAATGATGAGAGTAGAATATATTCCACGAAATAAAGAAGATTGGGATGCACCCCCGCATCCTGCAAAGCTGAACCTAATCACTGATGAAAAAAGACAGATCTTCAACAAGAACAAAAATTTGAGTAACTCCTCCAAAAGAATTCAGAAATGAGCAGAGAATTCAACTTGTAAGTACTCCAAATGAGAAACACAAGAAAAGTAAATAAGTGCACTTTTCAAAAGGATATTAAGCAAGGAACAGTTCTAGGGCAACAGACAAGGTTATTGTTGAAAAAATGTTGACTGAGGGAAGAATGACAAGGCATCATCAAGGTACAACAGGATCTAAGGAACTAAAATCTAAACAGAATTTAGAGTCAGCAGAAAGGGAAAAGAAGGGAAAAAAATGGAATAAAATGTAAATCTAACAATTATTATCTTAAAGGTGAATGGATAAACTCCCTAAATAAGAGAGAATGGTAGAATTTCACAGACTTTGTGTGCCAGAATTAAAAAAACAAAAACAAAAACAAAAACAAAAACGTACTGGCAAGCTTCTGGATATCAACCTAAGGGCCAATATAAAGTCCTGCTCAGGATTATTGGAGTAGGAAAATCAATGTGTGTGAGAGAGAGTAGACATGACATTGCCAGGAGTATGGGAGAAGAACTTCCAGTGTGGAAACTACCTCCACTGATACAGGCCAGCAGCTCCTCTGTAACTTCTTACACTTCAGAGACGCTTGAAGAGCAGAAATGATTAGGCACAACATCCATGGTCACACAGCTAGCATAGAGCCAAACCAAGACTGGAATCCAGGTCTTCCTGATCCTCCATACCAACTTCCTCTTCTCCCCATCAATAAAATGGGGATAACAACACTTGGACCACCTATCTTGCTCACAGGGTTGTGAGCAAATCATTTTGTGAACTGCAAATTAATAGATAAAGGTGAACTCTCATTATCTGAGTTCAGTCTTGAAGACCATATAATTTATGGGCATGCTATACCACACCCAGACCTACCATTTTTGAAAAACTCTTAAAACCACTGAGGAATTAAGGGAAAAAGCTGACCCTACTTTGTTTTTTTTGGCTTTGGTTTCCTCATCTTTAAAACAAGAGGGGTAAGTGGGAATAGATGATCTTTAAGGTCCACACTGTACCACCCACAACCCCAGACCAAGGAGAAAATGCTATGAGAGCCATTGACATGTATAGTCATTCACCTGTGGCTCATTTCTGAGGACAAAGGCACAATGTCATTTTCATTTTTCTATCTCTGCCAACACCTAGCACGGTGCTTTGCACATAGTAGGTGCTCAATAAACATTAATTCAATGATTATTAAAAAACCTATGACTCACTACTTCCCCATCCTGCATCTAGAATTTTCCTTTTCTCAGTTTCAGCCCTTCGTTCCCAACCCTGAACATTCATGACCCAGAAGAGTCTTCTGTGACCACCTGCTGTGGTCATCCAGCTTGCTACATATACATAGTCAAAAGGAAAGAAATCTGGTGCCCCTACCTAAAACCAGTCTAACCCAACTGTCTCCTGGTATTCTTCTCAAACTTCACCAAACTACCCTCAGGTTATGGGAAGGGGAAAATGAAAGAAGTATGTGTGTCCTAGATCCTAACCACCCCACCTCTGAGTTTAAACAAGAAGACGAAGTATGAAAAGAAAGGTCTATTTCCCTGTCTTTATTTACTCACCATTTCTGTGTTAGGGACACCTGACAGTACCTGGTACTCCAAAGTTTTCTTGGCACTGATAATCCCTGCAATATTGGTAGGCAGCTTGCATCTCTGTTCCAGGCCTATGTCTCCTGTGAAATGTCTCTGGTCACTGCAGGCAGAGATGTGGCCTATGGCCTACGCCACCAGCAACCCCAGAAATCCGATCCCCAAAACTCCAGTTTGATGGCTGCATCTCTTTCCCGGTGCCAAATGGCTGACCAAAGTGTCTCAAGAGCAGAAGAGGCCAAAGGGAAGGGCAGACCTTCCCACCAAATCTCATCTTCTCTCCTATCCCTTCCTTTATCCCTGTTCCAGGTGTCCTTAGTACAGCCCTGCTTCCAGAGGTGTCACAGACTCAGGTTCTCCTCTTGAACCCTTGTGGCCTATCTGGCTCCCACAGAAGTGAACTGAGTTTTGGAAAGCTACTACCAAAAAAAATTGCTTCACACAAGAAACACATAAAGAATAAAAATATGAGACTAGAAAAGAGTTTCCTGTTTCAGCTGATTCTAAAAGAATAGGAGTTGCAATTTTGTCATCAAAGCAAAAGTAAAAATTCATACTATCAAGAGAGAGACATGGAAATTACATCGTACATAAAAGTACCATAGATAATAAAACAATATCATTATTAAACTTATATGCCTCGAATGGCATAGCATCTAAATTCATAAAGGAAAAGCTAACCAAACTTCAAAAGACACAGATAGTAACAATAACTGTAGAATATGTAATTGTTACTCTCAGAGCTGCATAAGTCTAACAAAAATTTTAAAAGGAGGAAAATGTAGAACTGAACACTGTTGGAAAATTTAAGATTTCAAAGACTTATGGCATCTTCTGAATGGAAGTATTAATGAATATACCTATTTCTCAGCATCACATGCTACCTTTATAAAGACAAACCATGTAATAGGACACAGAGAAATTGTAAAGAAAAAAAAAAGAGGCAGAAATAATGAACATGTTTTGTAGTCCATAACACAATTCAATATTTAACATAGGGAATACAAGTAAAAAGTACAGACCTAAAAGGAGAATAAGTTAAAACTTCCTGAATAATGAGTGGGATAAAGAACAAATCATAGAAACAATCAGGAACCATGTAAAAGAGAACAATAATACAATATTGTAAAATTTAGGGAATGAAGGTAAACCAGTTCTCAGAAGTAAAGTTATATCATTAGAGTAATAAAGATGTTTCACAGTTAACAAACTAGAAGAAGGGAGGAAGATTATTAAACTGAGCATGCAATTGAAAAACAAGAAAATAAAAACTAAAATAAGTCCCTAAAATCTGACAATTAGAGGATCTGATAAAATGGAAAACAAAAATTGTAGAAATGAACAATGCTAAGAGCTGTTTTTTGAGAAGATGCACAAAAGCAATAATGTTTTAGCTAACTGGATTAAAAAAAAAGGAAAATCAAATTACCAAAGTGAAAAAGGAAAAAGATGAATTCACAACAGAAGAAATAAAAACAATTATCAGAAAGTACTACAAAAAAAACAGGAATAGAAACTAGAGCTTTGATTTCATTCATAGGTGGCTAGGTGGCACAGTGGATTAGAGTGCAGGACTTGGAGTCAAGAAGACGTGAATTTCAATCCTGCCTCAGATACTGCTTTGCTGTGTGACTCTTAGCAAATCAACTTAACCTGTGTGCCTCAGTTTCCTCATCTATAAAATGGGGATAGCACCTACCTCACAGGATTGTTGTGAAGAGAAAATTATTTAATAATATTTGTAAAGCACTTTGTAAACCTTAAAGCTCTATATAAAGATAAGCTATTATTCTTGGTATGGGGAAATTAACAAGTCATAAATTAATTACCAAAGATGGGTGGAGAGGAGAGGGAGAAGAAACCTTGGTCCAGATGGATTAACAAGTGAATTCTACAAAGTATTTAAAATAATTATGCTAAAATAGTCTTAATAACTAAAAAATAAGTACTCTGCCAAACTCATTTTTTGAGACAAATATAGTATTAATGCCCAAATGATGGAAGGAGAGAGATATAGATCATACTATATAACTAATAAACTGTGATGTAAATATTTTAAATAAAATTCTAGGAAAAATGTTGTTGTTTAGTTATTTCAGTCGTGTTTGACTCTGTGACTCCATTTGGGGTTTTCTTGGCAACGATATGGGAGTGGTTTGCCATTTCCTTCTCCAGCTCATTTTACAGATAGGAAACTGAGAAAAAACAGGTTTAAGCAACTTGCCCAGGGTCACACAGCTAAGTGTCTGAGATTGGATTTGAACTCTGGTCTTCCCGACTCCAGGTAAAGAGCAGGTAGGTGCTCAATTCACTGCACCACCTAGCTGCCCAGGAAAAATATTACAGAAAAAAATTCAATATGACCCAGATGGATTCATATCAGGAATGCAAGGATGGCTCAACATTAAGAAAACAATTAGCATAGTAATGAACAACAAAAACCACCTGATTAAAAGCCTCTGCTAAAATTCAGTTCTCATATATCTACTTATAATTTTCCTGATGCCTTTTATTTTATGTATGCATATATCAGTCATTTCTGGATATACTCCTCTACTACTCATACCACTTTATAACCAATTTTTTCAAAAATTAAGCAAATCTGACAAATCAGACAGTACAGATAATTGTATTTAAGCTATTAACTTTTGATAGCTTAAATGTGCATTAAGATTGTTGAGACACCCTACAAAATATTGTACATTCACAGTCTCCCACTTCTTGTCTTTTTTTAAAGGAAGTTCCTCTGGGGTATGAGACTAGATCTTGGGAAGTGATTTCTGTGTCAAAACAAAGTGCATCAATAAATCATCTGAACAACATTAAGTCTAACATACTGACACATGGGCATCGCTCATGGTTACTAAACCCACTAAGATTGCCAGGTTCAGTTCTTTGTGCTTCCACTCATGAAGATCCTAATCCAACAACCTCAAAGGGAGACTGGCTGACAAGTTAAGGTAGCACTGAAAGAGGGAAAGTTTCTGAGCTGGGACAACTGTATAATGGTGGTATAATCAAGTGGAATGGATGAGTTAGGGAGTCAGTTTAGAAGGAAAAAACAGAGTTTGTTTTTGGACATGTTACAAGTTTGAAGGGCCTTCCAAATTAGTGACCTCCCTGTAGATCAACATGCCTTTTATTCCAAATAAATGTTTGCGTTATGCAGAAGGGACAATGAACGTCATTACTTCGTCAACAAATCACTAAATTTGGATAGCAGTAACTCAAATTTCTATAGCACTCTGAAGGGAACTGCAGGAAGTATCCTATCCCTATAATGTCGCACTAAAGATATATTTGGGGTACTTTGGATCTTAAGCATAATAAAAGATTAAAAACAAAGAATCAAGCTTTTAAGGCAAATTCATCTTTTCTTTTCCTCTGTGGACTCCTCCCTCCCCTAGAGAAGAGCATGTAGTAAAAATAACCAAATGAAAAAAAAATAACCAAATGACTGCACTTGACAGTTATGAGAAAAAGTCTAGAGCTGAACTGGGAAAAGCAGTAAAAGCATTAGGACAGCAGAAAGAAAATCACAGAATCCAGGGGCCAGGAGGGGCTTCAGAGACCAGCTGGTCAAATGTATACTTGATCAAGAATCCAATTTCAAACAAAACTAAGTTTCCAAAGGGATTTTCTAAATATCTCGGATGTGTAGTTCTATGCAAAGTTTTATTGTGTATGACTGAAAATGATGCAGTTGGAGCATGGAATGTGAATCAGAAGACCGAGATTTCAAATTCTGGCTCTGTTATTTCTGACTTATATGACTCTGGGTGAGTTTCTAGCCCTTCTTGGCCTTATTTCCCTCCTCTATAAAATGAGGATGGATGACCTATAAAGTCCCTTTCCAATTCTATATCCTATGAATGTGAGACACAAACTAAAGAGAACTACAATGCAGCTGTTTTAACTGTATTTTGCACAGGAAAGGATGGGGAAGAGGCGTGGAAATAGGGAAGGTAAATATCCAATATTTAAAACATAACAATTATAGACCCAGGAAATTTGAGTCTAATTTATTGAATCTTGCTGACGTATTTGGTTGTAACTTTGTTAAGAAGTGGTACTATTCTTGCAGAATAACTATGTTAACTGTTAAAATAACGAATGTCCATCTGTAAAATAGAGTGAACATATATACATACAGCTGTCACAGCTTTTCAACAAATAACCTATGTGCAGAAAGAAAACCTGCATCTTTTTTCTTCCAATGATTGTCTCTGCCAGAATGAAAGAGCTAGCATACAAAAGTATAACTGTCTGATCTAAGGCACTGTTCTCACCTCCAACAATTCCTCTGAACTCTGAATGGCAAAGGTCTAGGAAGGATAAGAGTCCTCCTCCTCATTCCAGAATGGGTTTGAGAGAGGAACACAGTTCTGCCTCAAAAAACTGGTGATTCAACAATAAAAAATTAATTAGCAGGCTGATTAATTCATACTCAAGTATCAGGCAATGGTTTAAGTAGGATTTGATGAAGCAATTTTCATAAACCACTTATCCATTATGTGTATGTGTGTGTGTGTGTGTGTGTGTGTGTGTGTGTGTGTGGTGGTGGTGGTGATGGTCGTGGTGAATATATGCATGTGTGTATGTATTACATGGGCTTAAGACTATTGATGAATTTCTTCGCAGCTATTTCAAAGGACGCGATTCATCCCTTCCTGCCATAAAAAGGCAGGAAAATTTTGGTTAAATAGCACTTACTGCAGCCTTTAATAGGTAAGCGAATATAGCACATACATAAGAAAAAAAAAGATACTCTAAGACCATTGTGAATCAGCAAGCCAATGCCACAAGGCAATGGCCATGATACTGTTTTACATATGTGAAAATAACACTTACATGTCCGTAAAGACATAAATATGCAATCTGAAAGGAAAAAGTTAAAAAACCATGACAAACTGTAACCACACTAGGACAAAAATTTCCCCAGGCCTCATATTTCAGAATGTAGTAGAGAGTGTGTGAATGTGTGAGTGTGTAAGTGAGTGAGTGAGTGTGTGTGTGTGTGTACAGACTGCAATTTAAACTATTTTCCTGAAAGTAAAGGTATATAAATTATGGTAAAATACAATATGCAGAACTATGAAACCACCAAAATGTCTGCATTAAACACAACGTGACAATGCTCCTGAGAGCAGTCTTGGGTCATCTGAGAGATCTAGTAAGCTCTTTCCTAATACTGAATCTTTGAGAGTCTAACAGTAAAGGGATGAATGTTATTTAGGGGTTTTAAATAGGCTGGAAGCAAATTCTTTCCTTCTAAAATAAAATGTTTACCAGTCGGTTTGTAAGTCAGTTTGGATGCTTCCTCACCACTTTGCATACGTCAAAGGAAAAATAAAACAAGCAACAAGCAAGAGACAGCTTAAATGAAATTATTAAAGGAAACAGAAGTAACACTTTGCCAGGAAATCCCGTCACATTGTAACAAAGAAGGACCTAGATAACTCCCTGAAAGTCCTCAAGGTGCAGGTGGAGAAGCATCCCCTCTCTTGGGAGTTTGATTTTAACATGGTTGAACTGGCGTAAAGGCAAGAAGCAGCGTCCTGAAGAAAGATCTTTAGATGGAATCCAGTGACTTCCAGGATCGGAGTGTTTAGAAATCTGGCCAAAGAGAAAACAGTGAGAGGAAAGACTGAGTACAGAGGATTCCAGTTACATAGCATTTCACTCACTGCTTAGCTCTTTATCACTTCAGTACTACAAAAACCCCTTCTCCTTATCCTCATCCTTTGCAACCCCCTCCCCCCAGCCTCTCCGATGCCAAAGCAATACCCCCAAGAAAGAAAATCAAAATTACTCTGGGGAGCGCAAACAGGATGTTGAAGGCACCAGGGACCATGCCACCCAAATTGGGTCAGCTGAAGAAAGTAGGGATGTTTAGCCTGGGGGAAGAGTAGACTTAAGAGGGACAGGAGGGATGTTTTAGGTACTTGAAAGATTTTCACCTAGAGAAAGGTGAAAATTTCTTCTTGGCCCCAGAGAGGAGATTGCAAACAATAGATGGGAAGTTTTACTTTGACATAAGAAACTCCTAACAATTAAAACTGTCCAAAAATAAAATGGGATGCTTTTGTGGGTACAGAGTTTCCTATCACTGGAGGCATTTAGAGGCAGCTAGATGGTAAGGTGGATAAAGATCAGGGCCTGGAGTCAGAAGACATGAGTTCAAACCTGACTTCAGACACTTAAAAGATGTGTGACTCTGGGTGAATCACCTAACCTCAGCTTGCCTCAGTTTCCTCATCTGTAAAATGGAGATAATAGCACCTACCCGCCAAGGTTGTGAGGATTAAATGAGATACAGTGCCTAGCACATGGTAGGTACTTAAATGCTTGTTTTCTTCTTTCCTTCAAGCAGAAGTGGGATGATGTTGTGTTGGGGATATTACCTTAGGGGACAGGGAGCAGACCTGTGATTTCATTGGTATTGGGAATTCCTAGATGAGACTCCTTCTACCATATTTTCTGCAACTTCTAATCCTAGAGAGCTGCCTGGAAAATCAAGACGTTAAGTGAATTGACATGGGACCCACAGCCAGTGGAAGTCAGGGACGGCACTTGAACCCAGGTCTTTCTGGCTCTGAGGCTGGCTCTCTTTCCACTATACCATACTGCCTCCCTATTAGGATACTGTCAAAAGGATTAATGCACCCAACAGGGTGATGGACTGTATGAGCCCTCAGGTCACTTCCAACACTAAGATGTGCTAAGACTAGAATTTTTCAGATATTCACTTTTTATTGGCCTAAATGAATATATTAAGATTCACTGGGTACACAGCCCCATTAATAGCTCCAATAAAGAAGCCTTCTTGAAAGACTAAATGATAATAGTCAACCTGGTGTAAAAGTCCTCCCTTTTTATTTGAGTATTGGCAGCCCATAAAAAGCCTCATTATTACAGTGCTGGTGCAGCCCAGGTACTGAGTACAAAGAACCTAGTTACAGGACTCCTCCTCTTCCTTAGAAGGTGAGGGGCAGGGGTTCTTAATCTTTTTGGGTGTTAAAGAGCCTTTTGGCAGTCAGGCTGGTGAAGCCAATGGACCCCTTCTCAGAATCAGGTTCTCAACTAATTGAAGGAAATGCCAAATTTCAGTTAGAGTTTAGTGAAAATAAGGATGCTATTTTTTTCCTTATCCAAGTTCATGAATCCCCTTAAAATCTATTCATGGACCCATCTAAGTCCATGGGCCACAGGTTAAAAACTGCTGCTTTAAAGGTCTACTGGGGGGCAGTTAGGTGGCACAGTGGATAGAACACCAATTCTGGAGTCAGGAGGCCCCAAGTTCAAATCCGGCCTCAGACACTTGACACTTACTAGCTGTGTCACCCTGAGCAAGTCACTTAACCCTGACTGCCTCACAAAAGAAAGAAAGAAAGAAAGAAAGAAAGAAGGAAAGAAAGACAGACAGACAGACAAAAGGTCTATCAGGAATTAATGACCCTTGGAACCCATGGGAGCCTTCCCTTATATAAACATACCACCTATAATACTGCCACAACTTTTCACAGCTTTTTAAGCCCCACCATAGCACTGCTATCATTTGACTGACTGCATACTTCAAACATTCAACCTTTGTGACTGACCTATTACCTTGTTCTTCCTAATTTTGGGTCTTCTAAACACCAATTATGGGATACATTTGTAATAGGATTTTGCTCTACTGTGAATAGTGGTCTGTACAGTCAGGATCTGGTATATTTGTTTTTAAAATGCAATTGCTATTTTTCTCATGATTGGGAGGAGTTCAAGCAGAAGGTAGCTGATACCCAGCCTTCTGGTGATGCTTATGGAAGATTCTTCTGACAGTTATTAAAGGGCTGCAAGGCACAGGCTGAAAATGGGGCCAAGGAGTTGCTAAGAGTGCACCTGGGTAGGGAAGGAAGTGGAGAAGCACCAAAATATACAGAGTGAGCAATCTCCTTTTAAAAAATAGCATCACTGCTATTCCACAAGCACCAGGAACTTGTGTTTTAACAAGAACGTTTAACAAGACGCTGGAAGGAAAGTTTCTATCGTTAATGGAGCCTCCTTTAGGAGGCTATGGGCCATAAAGGCCTCAATCTCCTATTCCACTGTGTACAAACTTACAAGTAAGAGCCCAAACACTTTCCAAAGACCAAGCAAATTAACTGTCTATTATCCTTGTTTTCTTTCAGCAAAGAGAAAGCTCCTTGGTTCTGTTTGTTAGAAAGCCTTTCTTTTGAACTTCAATTTCTTAACTATACATTCACAGAGATGTTGCTTTAAAAAAGGATACCTCAAAGGCACATTTTAACCATAATTCTTTTGCATTGTGTATTTTAATGTTTAACAAATGTTTTCAGTCTATTTATAGAAGAGAAATCAAGATATTCCCACAAACCCCTAGGAATAACGACCTGAATGAATTAAAGCAAACATTTCACAATTATTGTTCTGTGCTCATTTACAATGCAGAAGCCAGCTGGGGTAGAAAGAGTACTGACAGAAGCCAGAGTCCTAGGTTCTATTCCCAGCTCTGCCACTCATTTCCCGTGGGACCATTGGCAAATAACTTAAACTCTCTGGACCTCGGTTTCCTCATTATAATAATCACTATCTCATAGAGTTGCCATGGGAACCAAACGAGACAATGTAAATAAAAGTGCTCTACTTCAAAGATCACTGACTGATTCATCACTCTACTAATGGAGATCATTGTTTCGCCACAACTTGGCATATTTCCTTTGGAAGTTACTGTGGCTGAAAAGACAATCACCCCATGACAAATCTGGTTATCAGCCTCTCTCTGATCTTAGCTGGATTGGTCCTTGGAAAGACAGACGCTAAGTCCATTGCAAGGCCCACCCTTGACACCTCCCCAGCTTGGTAGGCCCTGTCAGAGCTTGTGCCGCACAGGCATAGTCTTTGAGAACCTGGGGTTCCCTCAACACCAGGACTGAGGTCAACTTTTGTGAAGATGACCCAATACAAATATAAGCTATCATCATCATTAAAACAAAGCGAGCAATTACATTTGAATGAAGCAACTGACTTATAAAAAGTCATCCCTATAAAAAGAAGCCTCTGTGTTACCTGAATTGCTCCCTTCGGATGAAGCCATGGAATTCATCACTGCGTCTTCCTCAAAGTCTAACTTGGGACCTGGAACAAACGTAGCAGCATCACTTGAGTTCTGAGTACAGCTTTCGGAAGGAGTGTTACTGGAATTAAATTTGATGGATTTGGCATGAATTCCAAGCTCAATGATCTCCTTGCAAGTCCATGTACTAGATTTTCCATTCAGGTTTGAGGAGTTGTCAGTTTCACCAGCATCCATAGTTTGTAAGTTTGGAGTAATCATGTCTTTGGCAGAAAGCCTAGAGAAAGATGTTTTAATTAAATGGCTTGCCTAGTCAAATATCAATATTTTATTTGAGAAAAACCTTTGCCCTCTGATTAACTTTCATTAAGCACTCTCAAGGTGACAATATAAAAATATGAATGTATGGTGTGATTATAGATGGTCCTCTACTGACAAACAGCAGGAACAATGCAATGGATTATTCCCATTAATATTATAAAGGGGAAGGTTGATTTCCAGGCCAATACCCAAATGCCCTTTTAACCCATAATGAAACTGGATCCTTTATAACATGGTTTCTATAGGAAAAAGCATCCTAGAATTTAATTAGGGATGCCAGAAAGAGATCTCTCCCTTGCCAAAGTCCTAACACTGACTTGTATGAGGACTGTAAGGGTTGTGGCAGGGAAGAGGAGTGGGAATGAGGACAAACTCCAGCTTGTCAAAGGAATGGGGATGGAGTAAGAGGGAACATGGGTTGTGGCTGGACCTGTGGAGCTCCGACTTCTGTAGTGAAGGAAACAGGCAGAGATTTCTGTGGTGTGTGGAGATCCCTCAGTAGCTGGTTCCAGAGGGTGTGCCAGGGGTGGGGGATGAAGGTTCTGGGCCTATGAGGGCTATAGATTCCAATTCCCACAGCCTCAGTGGGCGTTCACTCAGTCTGGTGAAGGGGTAAGTAGACTACCGCCTGTTTCATCTGTCTAGAGTAACAGGCATATATAATTGTATTCTATTGAACTATTGTTAATTAGATATTCTTAAATCAGAGTGATCAGAGCAAACTAACTAGTCTAACTCTAACTACAAATAGGAAAAAAAAACTTTTACAACAAATGGTCAGTTAATACATTGTAAAGGTGACTTTAACAGCTACGTTAGACCCTGGTGATCTAAGGCAGAGAGAGAGTATTTCCCTCTGACTAAGGAGAGCAGGAAGCAAAGGGAAGTTATGCTTTCCCTGTTTCGAAAGGCAGGAAAAGAAGCGAAGACTCTATCCCAAACAGAAGCTTCCATAGAAGGATATTTGAGCAAAGAACTGCTCAAAATCCAGAGCTTTCAGAACTATGTCTTCAGAGAACTACAAAGTATTGTTGCTATGAACTCTCAGCCATTCCCACTGCCTGTGGCAGCTGAAGTCTTTGCAGGAAACTCCCGATAAGCATCACTTGCTTTACCACTGTCAAGTGTCCCATCTCCCCCCCTCCCTTGCCTCCTCCCTACCCCACCCCCAGCTTTTTAAAAATAAATTCAAAGAAGTGAATTTATTAATAATTACATGGAAAGCATCTCATCCCATCTCCCCAAAAAGCTGTATTTTATAAAGGTGACTAACCTAGGGTCTGTTGCCAGAGTCACAGGCAAACAATCTCTATTTTCTGGCTCTGTGGCCATCTCATCACCATCGGTGACGAGTCCTTCAACCTCATCTTGGGCTGCAGCTTCAGCTTGTTCTGTATAAGCCAGTTTAGGAAACGTCTCAGCACTAAGCCCTTCTGAGGTCTTGTCATTCTCAGACGAGTCAATCTCAGTGACAGTGGCTGTGAAGGAAAAAAAGATGAACAACATATCATCTGAGTTTCAATATCAACTATAATAAAACACTATGGATCTATCCAATACCTTATTAGATGAGAGGTAAAATAAGGAAGCTGGAGCTATGCTTAGGGGCAGCAGTACTGCCTCAGGGCAGGCCTCTCATCAAATATTGATGTAACCGCTCTAGGTATGTGGCAGTACACTGGGCAGAAGAGGGTTACTATAAACTGCCCTCAAGAACCAAAATGTGATGGGTGCCAATTATGATCATTGTCTTTCTGATCCCACCTCCCAAAAGACGCCTCTGATAGACCTGTCCATTTTCTCCCTTCTGCATGGAATGTGGGAAAAGACTGAATTCGACTACATCCCTTCATACCAAGGGCTCTTAACATGGGGCCCACAGACACCCAAGGCATCTGTAGATTTCAAGGGATCCATGAACTTCAGGGGCAAAAATTGTATCTTTTCACTAACCTCTGAATGAAATCTCACATTTCTTTCGGTTATAAATTTTTAATAAACCATAATTCTGAAAAGGGCTTCACTAGACTGCTAAAGGGATCCAGGACACAGAAGGCAAAGAACTCCTGCTTTTTTTCATGAGATCTCAGACCCTGAATACTTCTGTGGTGAACTGGTTTGGGATCACAGAGAAAGAACATGAAAAGGGGCCAGTCTTTATATAACAACTCCCTTTGTCCTCTGGGTAGGATGTACTCAATTTGCCAAACCTACATACAAAGATTAGTTTCATGTCCTATCAGTCATGAGAAGCTTTATATGGTAAAATCCTATGAAGTAAAAACATATACAGTAAAATCCTATCAACTTGCTCTAACTTATAAAATCACTTCAAACTCAGTGAGCTTCAGTTTCTTCATCTGTAAAATGGGAGATAGTGACACCTCTGCTACCAATTACCTCACAGGACTTTTGCAGGGAAAAGTGCTTTGCAATCCTTAAAGCACTTCTCAAACAGGAGTTGGGATTCCTATGATTACAATTATTCCCCAGCATCCTAAATGATTACTACAGGAGCTAACTGGTAAATGGAAGCATACCTGGTGGGTCCGCTGTTTCGAAACGTCCTTCATCTCCCTCATGAGCGGCGTCCGCTGTTTCGAAACGTCCTTCATCTCCCTCATGGGCGGCGTCCTCGTCAACAGCAGCATTCTTAGACTTCTCTTCACTCTGTAACCAAGCAACACAAGACTGGGCTCAGAAACTCCTTGCTATTAAACCATCTCTGTTATATCAGTATTCACTTGTCTAAGGTAATTGAGTATTTTCTTCATTTAGATTAAAGGCTAATCACCTATGACTTGAAGGCAGGATATGGCCCATTTAATGAGTCCCAAAAGAGCAGGCATGATGGTAGTGGCTAGATTATGGAGGAAGTTTCAGTCTGGACAAGCAACCCTGGAATTTCAGGTTCAGTCATAAGTAGCGGGATTAACCCGGTAAAGGGATGTATATTGAGACACTGACCAGGTGATTTTTTCCATGATAAAAGGGCAGATGCCTCTGTCCTAAAGAAAAACACCTGGTACTCAGTTTCTCTGGGAGGTAGTGCTTACTGCCTGCAATTACACATGGGCATTGCTTTTCAGAAACAGGCCAGTGTAATGAATCAGAAACAGGAAAGATACAGGAGAGTATATACAAACTTTCACACATCACAAAAAGAGACTTCCAAGTACAAGAGCAGGCAATTCTGAAGGACATCCCAATGCTCTGTCGCTTCATAACGTGGCAACTTCATTCATTCAGAGTGCCAGCATGATGCAGTGGAAAGAAATGACACAGAGTCAAGAGGCCGAGATGTGACTCTCAGCTTTGGGAGGCTGGGCAAGTCATTTCTCTGAGCCTCAGTTTCCTCACCTATAAGATTGTGATGATGAAATCAGAGGATTTAGAGCTCAGTTCCAAGCCAGATCATCTGACTCCAAAGCCAGTGCCCTTTCCAAACTACAATACCTCAGAGGCAAGTTCTCACTATTACTTCACTTATATTTAAGGAGAATATGACTGAATGCAGAATTTAACAAACCTTTTTTAAGGGAGCACCTGTGTGGTGTAATGGATAGAGAACTTAGCCCCAGAGGCAGGAAGACCTGGGTTCAAATCCCCCCCGCCTTGGATACATCTTGGCCATGTCATCATGCTCTAGGTCAGAGGTTCCCCCGGCACGCAGAACCAGATTAAAATTAACTAAACAGTTACCAAAATAAATAAAAATATAAATTGTGGTTTTCTATGTTAATATATGGTACATAGGGATCGTGCTGTTCAGTTCAGCTGCCCCTTTTCTATTTGAGTCTGACTCCACTGCTCTAGGCAGCACTCTAAGGTGCCAACTTACATTGGTAGGGGGAATTCTGGGTAGCCAGGAATTCTCTAGTCCAGTGAAACCACACGTCCAACCCCTATCCTATTCCCCTAAGCATGGTTTAACAACTTCATTCACCTTACTACAAAATTTAGCCTTTGATTTAAAAAAAAAGGAGCATGAAATTATCAAGTTTGCAGTGAGAAATTCTAGCATTGAGCAAGCTGAGATTAAAGAAAAGATATTTTGATTTCACTTGCTTTCTGGGAGGGCTAGAAAGTCCCCTCCTCTTTCAGTCCTCTGTCCTTCTAGAATAAAAACTGTCCTGATCCAAACTGGGTTAGGCACAAGGATGATCAAAAGAGAAGGCAAGTAAAGCAGGGAGAGACTCCACAGCTATTTAAATGTTTCAGATCTCCTTTGGGAAGAAAAGCTGATGAGTAAAATGAAGTCCTGAATAGGACCAAAGCAGTCAGCCTCACTCTGATTACTCAGAGACCCTGAACCTCCAATGTTAAATGAGTAGGATCATAATTGCAAACTTCACAGTGCCAATATTATTAAGTAATTTCCCTCAACTACCTGGTATAATAATTGGTAGGAGAACCACTGTCCCCATTTCATAAGCAGGGAAACTGAGGCTCAGAGAAGTGAAAGAACTTGCCCTCAATCACACAGCAAGAATTGTGGGAGTTAAGATTCAAAAGACTGTAAGCCTTCAGTCAATAAGCACTTATTCAGTGCTTACTAGATGCCAGCTATGTCCTAAGCAATGGCCATACAAAGAAAGGCAAAAGCAGGGTCCCTGCCCTCAAGAAGCTCATATTCTATTGGGGGAAACAACATACACACACCTGTTCAAACAAGAGAACGAGCATAAATGAAAAGTCATCTGAGGGGAAATGTCACTTGGAGCACAGAAAACTGAAAAAGTTCTTCAGAAGATGGGATTTGAGCTAAGTTCTGAAGGAAGCCAGAAAAATAGGTAGGCAGAGGTAAGAAGGGAGAACATTCTGGGCATGGGACTCAGCCTGGAAAATGGCACAGTGCTAGAAGGTGGAGTTTCATTTCTAAGAAACAGCAAGGGGGCCAGTGTCACTGGAACATAACGTACATAAAGCGTAAGGAGACTGGAAAGGTAGAAAGGATCCAATGGAAGGTTTGGGAGTTCTGCCTGGAATTTATTAAGCAGGGGAGGTAATATTGTCAGACCTGTGCTTTAGGGAGATCACTCTGGCACCCAAGAGCAGGATGGGCTAGAATGGGGAGGGACTTGAGGCAGGCAGTCCCACTGGCAACATTCCAAGTGAGAGGTGATGAGGACCTACACCAGGGTGGGGGCAGTGGCAGAGGACAGAGAGTATTCCAGACATGTTGTGAAGGTAGAAAACAGGACTAGGGACATATTGGATACATGAGGTAAGCCATGACACTTAGGAAGCAGACCCAGGTGACTGGGAAGTTAGGCGTGCCCTCAACAGTAATAGAAAAGTTAAGAAGAGGGAAGGATTTGGGAGGAAACATAATGAATAATAAATTTTAAGGTGTTATATAAGCGTGAGTTAACATTAATTGTTTTATTGGACTGAATAACATTTGTCCAGGTTACAATTCATCAGCATTTCTACCAGAGTTATGTAAGCAGGGGAAGGAATAAAAAGGTGAACCTCAAGCATATTTTCAATCTGCTATTTGTAAGCAGTACTGATACAATTTTCATATGGCAAGATAGCTAAAGCTTTAGGGCTAGAGTTCTTAAGTGGGTATCAATGACCTTTATTTTTTTTTTTTAAGATTTGCTAACTACATTTTAATGTCATTGGTTTCCTTTTGAACTTTATACATTTGTAAACACGATTCTGAGAAGGGGCCCATCAGTAGGCATCACCAACCAAAGGGACCCAGGACCCAACAAAGGTTCAGATGCCCTGCTCAAGGGTCCTCATGGGGTTCCTTTTCCCCAAGTTCTCCTCATTTCAATTCAGCTTAATTCAACAAGCATTTAGTGAGCACTTATTAGATGCCAGGCTTTGGAAATATAGAGACAAAATTAAAATGTTCTCTGTTCATAAGAAGCTTATATCCTACTGGGGAGAAGCAACATGCACACAGAAAAGAAAATGTCAAATACAAAATGATTTCAGGGAGGAGGGAAGTGGCAATGCTAACCACTTGGAGAAGCTGGAAAATTCTCTTGTAGGTGGTGGCCAAGGTGAGGAGGGAGAGAATTTGAGGTATGTGGGACAAGCAACCCAAAGATGGGAGACAGAAGTTGTGTATGGGACATAACAAGTAGGTCAAGTTCACCTGAATATGGAACATGTGAATGTGTAATCTGGCCCAGCTGATCGAGAGATAAGAAGATAAACATCAACAGGAACAGCCCCACCCCCTCAAACAGGCTTACCTGCTCAGAATTCAGCTCCACTTTTCTGGTTCTTTTCATAATCTCTTCAATTCTCTATTAGGAGAAAAAAATATAACTATACATCTCTAAAACAGAACTATAAAACAGCTATAAAAATAAATTGGAAGAACTGAAACAGGAGGTTGTTAAATTTATCATCTTTGGCAAGCTGTTTCATCGTCCTGTTTCATTGTCCTCTTCTGTCAAATTGATACAAATGACCTAAGAAGCTAGGACCCTAATTTCCTTCCTTACTGTTCTGATTATATAGCACTCTGAATGCCAATTGCTTCGTTTTTCATTTTAATTTAGCAAACCAAATGATAATTTTCACATATAGTTTTTGCAGAACAGAAAGATCATTATTTAGCATAAGTAAAGATTATTGCCAATAAATAAGAATTGATGTTTTTGAAGTACTCTCAAATTATCTTACCAGCTAAGACATGCATATTAACAACAGTAGCTAATATTTCATACAGGGTGTATCAAAAGTTTTAGTGCAGTTGTAAGCTTAAATAGCTTACAACTGCACTAAGACCTTTGGGACACCCTGGATAGTGCTTCGAAGTTTGCTAAGCATTTCAGCTGTATTATTTCATTTGACTGATTTTCACAACCACCATGTGAGGTGGGTACTATTAGTATCCCCATTTTAGAGATAAGGAAACTAAGGCTGAAAGAGGTTAAGTGATTTGTTTGGGTCACATAGCTACAAAGTATCTGAGGCAACATTCAAACTCATGTCTCTCTGATTCTAAGTCTGGCACCTAACTACCTCCTTAAATTTAGAGGATGCTCTCTTGTGTCACACACTGTGTGTAAGAAACTTTGCTAACAGACAGAGAAATCATAAAGGAAATCTAGGAATGCATTCTAGAACTTGGATTCTCTGGGCATGACACAGCCTCCTTCCCCTGCAAGATAAGGCTGACTGTGGCCCCCTACTTTCTCAGCCTGCTGAGGGTTCTCAGGACACAGAGTCCAGGGATAACTCTCCTCATCCTCAGGTGACCAGACCTTGCAACCCCTTGGAATGTAGGGTCCAAGACCTGGCCTGCCCATAAGAAGCCCATACCTAAGCTGATACCATTGCTTTCTCCTCAGCTGTTATCAAAACTGCCCTTGTGTCAAGGTGCTAAGTTTCCTCAATTCTTTCCATGGCCAAGCCCCTTTTATAAAAAGAAGCTTTATTTCCAGAGGATTCTCTTACTGGAGGTACCACTATAACGACTCCTCCCTCACTAACTGCACAGACAGCTACCAATATTCCACCAAGTACAGAGAAGGAAGGGAAGAGAAGAGCATCTTCTCCCATGGAGGGCCATCCAAGGCCCTTGTCAAGAAGGTGGGAAGAGAGGGGCAGCTAGGTGGGGCAGTGGATAAAGCAATGGCCCTGGAGTCAGGAGGATCTGAGTTCAAATCCGGCCTCAGAGACTTGACACTAGCTGTGTGACCCTGGGCAAGTCACTTAACGTCACTGCCTAGCCAAAAAAAAAGGAAGGTGGGAAGAGCCTGCTGGCCCCGGCAATGATTGTTCCACCAAAACACTTTGCCCAGACACCTGACTGACCTTTTTCCTCTCCAGACGTTCCTGAATACTCTGCTCCATGATCCTTTCCCGCTCTCGCCTCTGCCTTTCAGCTTCCTCCTGGGCTTTGGCCTCAGCTTCCTCCTTCTATAATAAGTAAGAAAAAGGCATCAAGGACACACCACTCAGTTTCAAGAAATCTAAATGCAGCAGAAGAAGAGCTCTGGAATCCAGTCACTCAATGAATTTGGTGATGATAGGATTACTGTACAGAGCATTAAGTGGGCCCCCAAGAGCATGACATTTGATAAAATAATGCCACGGAGTGAAGTTGGTTCCATAGGAACAACGTAGATCCATCACATGCAATATGGTAGCTGTAAGCAAACTGACACTTGGGGAAGTTGATGGTGCTGGAACAAAAGCCCAACATATTGTCAGCCATCAAACTAATACTCTGGGTGAGAAGTCAAACGATATTACATTGGGTTTCAAGAAATTAAGAGTGGATGTTGGTCATGATGTATTAATGATATTATGGCAAAATGACACTGGCTGGGGCACTGTTGGACAGAGTGTGCTTGTGTACCACACACAGATTGAGATCACCAATTCTATAAAACATGAGGGTACAATAAAATATGACTAACGCTAAAATGAGACTACTGAATAGAATTTCAACTTTCTCTGAGGCTCCAGATGGTACCTCAGGCACTTGTAGGGTCCTAGGGTCATCATTAAGAATATCAGTCATCATAGAATTGTAAGTGTGGAGTGATAGGAAAGTTTGGGTTACTAGAACTCTGAATCAATCAACTTTCATTGTAATTTTATGGTAAAACTGGAAAATCTTTCTTATTACACCAACATAGCAGTTTTTATATAAAATCTGAGCTCTCCACTAATATGCTAAATCAGAGTCAAAATTTCTAAATCTCCCAGTAGTGCTTAAAAGGTTCTCAATGTGAATGTCACTTCTACAATACAGCTAATTCCATTTTGCAAGGCTTAAGACTAAGAAGAGAGAGGTATGAAGTGGATTGTTGAGAATAAAAATCCCTAAGAGCCCAGTACCAGACAGGGGAATTAGGCTGACCCATTATAAGTTCATAATGTTTATGCTCCACTCCAGCCAAACTAGAATATTCCCTGTTCCCTAAATATGGCCTATAATTCCTTGCCTTTGTGTCTTTGCTCATGCTAAGCCGCAGATGAGAACTGCCTTCCCTCTTCTGGGCAACTCCCATCTCTACCTCTTTCCCTATTAGCATCACACCTTCTCTTCTAAGCTTCAGGTTGAAGGCCACTTCGTGCCCATCATCTGATTACCTGGCACTTTACACTCCTTTTAGACACATCTCATATTTATCTGTGGGTGCATCTTACAGCCTGACTGCTTGATTGTAAGCTCAAGAGTAAGGGGGAGTAACTTAGTTATTATCTCTGCTTTTCCCCTGGTGCTCAGGACAATGCAACTGATTGTACATAAGTATTTGCTGAAGGAAATTCAACTAGACCTTTGCCACTGGCTTTGTACTCTAAGCTATGAGCCTATGATTTGGAAATGTTCTTTTCCTCTTTCTTTAAACCTGCACTCTCATCTTTGTCCCATCTCTGCTTTCAAGAGGATCTTATCTTTTACTTAACCGAAATGGAAATGCTACCTCAGTGATCCTCCCAATTCCAATCTTGTCCAACCCTTAATGCCACCTCCTCCAGTCTTCTCCTACCAGTCCAGATCATACTGTTCACTTCTCTGACCTTCAACACTTAGAGTTTACCCCACACATTTTGGTTCTTTATTACACAGTCTTGTATTCTTCTCTAATTGTCTGAGTGTCTTGTCTCTCCAACAAGATTATGAGCTCAAGAAAAGAGGCTATTTCCTCCCTTCTTTCAACAAACGATTACTTCTTGATAATACATGTCTTCACAAGCACTTAATTTCATGGGCCTGAGACAGTAACTATTATAACTAAAAAATACTTGGAAAAACAGTTGATTTGAGTTTTCTTTTTTAGCCTGGTGCTCAGATCAGGTCACAGACACAACCTGTGTGAGACAACTTCCAAATAGTGCTTAATTTTTAAGGTTCCTGGGTAATGAAAGTATATAAAAATCTAAGCATAGAATTCATTGAACATACAAGAAGACAGAGTACTAGACAGAGTAGACAGGAGGATTATTAGTAAGCACACATGACTACTGCTATATCCTAGGCAGAGAGCTTAGCACACCTGCTGCTGGAGTTCAGCCAGACGCTCCTGTTCTTGGGCCCTGCCCTCTTCTGTCTTCCGCTGCTGTTCTTCCAGTGACCTTGTTTCCTCAAGTTGAGAGAACTTGGCTTCCCTTTTTTCCTCGTCTTCAGTGGCTTTCTTTTCAATATTCTCTTTTACTTTCCTAATTATAGAAGCAGAAAACTTACAGATTCACTAATCTTGAAATGGATTTTGTTGGTATTTCCTTTTCCTAAAATATGGCTCCAGAAGTGTGTTTTTAAAAACACAGCAAAAGCCTCATTTACAGGATTACCCTCTACTTTCGCACTTTCTTGTAATTTACATTAGTGTCACTAACACTCCTCCCTCCCTCCATGGCCCCACCAATCCTTTCACATCACTGGAACAGATGTCAAAAGAACTGATTTGAATCCAGACCTTGCCATAAACTAACTCTGTGACCTTCAAAAAGGCCTCATAAGGAAAATGTCTTCATCCGCTGACCAGGGTTGACGGCATTTGTACTAACAGGGTAGTTGAGAGAAGTACATGAGAATATATGTGAAAATACAGTGCTAAACAAATCTAAGTTACTATTTCTCCTATGTTCCTAATAATTAAAATTTGTGCTTGTGCCTATATTTGCTACAAAGAACAGTTCAATTGTGGAAGAAGAAGAGGCAATAAAAGACTGAGTTTTTTTTTTAACGACTGCATATTACCCCCACTTTTTTCTTCAGGGAAACTAGTTTAGAAGAGAAGATTGATTCTTATACAAATATATAATAATAACTGATTTGGCTATGTTGTTGTTGAGTCATTTCAATCACATTCAACTCTTTGTGACCCTATTTGGGGTTTTCCACACAAGGATACTGGAGTGGTGAGCCATTTCCTTCTCCAACTCATTTTCCAGATGAGGAAACTGAGGCAAACATGGATAAGGGACTTGCCCAGGGTCACACAGCTATTAAGTGTCTAAGGCTGAATTTGAATTCAGGTCCTCCTAACTCCAGAGCCGGTGCTCTAACCACTGAGCCACCTAACTGCCCCTACATCGTGTGTTAAAATTTACGAAGCACTTTACATAGAGTATCTCACTTGAGCCCCATAACAACCCTATGAGGTAGGTGCTACAATTTTTATCACTACTGTACAGAAGAGGCAACTAAGGCTCAGAAAGTTTAAGTGACTTGCCTATGGTCACACAGCTAACAAGTGTCAAAGCCTGAATTTGAACTCAGATCTTCCTCTGTCTACTAATCTATTGTATTCTGGGCTTCCTCTCAAATTTTACTGTCCACTAATTTAAATGATAAACAGTCCTAAACAGCGTTATGCACATTCACATCACTGTGCCTTTGCTCATGAAGATGCTCTCCCCTTCATCCTTCTTACCTAGCCTTCCAAATCTCGCTCAATTCCCTACTCCACTCAGAAGGTATTAATTATTCTCTATAGTTCCTACAATCATACCACACAGTGTAACACAATCATACTTTCCTGTATAGTCTAGTAATTGTTTCTTGTAAATCTTATCCACCGAACAAGACTACAACCCCCCTGAGGGCAGACAATGTCTCATATGCTCTAACCTTGCTAGGTACACAGTAGGCAAGCAAGCTAATGCAATTTTAGGCTACCTTAAGGAAGTGCTAGTGTCCAGGACTAGGGAGGTAACAGTCCTTCTGTACTCTGATGAGGGCAAACCGCTACTTAGAATATCAAGTTCATTTTGGGATGCCACATTTTAGGAAGGACACTGACTCAAGTCTTCCAAGTTGCAAAAAGGGAAAGATACAATTTCAGAAACCTCAAAGCCAGAGAACTAACTTCAAATGATCTGGACATAAAAGGCTTAGAAAATTATCAGGTCTAAGAGCCAGTATAATAAAAAGGACAATTCTACCTAAATCAATTTACTTATTCAGTGCTATACCAATCAAACTACCAAAAATTATTTTACAGAGCTAGAAAAAATAATAAAAATTATCTGAAAGAACAAATGATCAAAGAATATCAATGAAAAAAGATGTGAAGGAAGATGGTCTAGCCATAACAGATCTCAAACTGTATTACAAAGTAGTAATCATCAAAATTACCTGGTATTGGCTAAGAGGTAAAGTGTTGGATCAGTGGAATAGAGTAGATACACAAGACACAGTAGTAAATGACTGTAGTAATCTAGTGTTTAATAAACCCAAGGGCTCAAGCTTTGGGGGCAAGAACTCACTAATTTGACAAAAACTGCTGGGAAAACTGGAAAATCGTTTAGCAGAAACTAGGTATAGACCAACATCTTACACCTTATACCAAGATAAGGTCAAAATGGGTACATGATTTAGACATAAAGGGTGATACCACAAGCATATTAGAAGAGCAAGGAATAGTTTGCCTGTCAGATCTACGGAGGAGGAAAGAATTTATGACCAAACAAGAGATAGAGAGCACGAGATATAAAATGGATAATTTTGATTATATTAAATTAAAAAGGGTTTGCAAAAACAAAACCAATGCAAGCAAGATTAGAAAGGAAAGCAGAGAGCTAGAAAACAATTTTTACATCAAGTATCTCTGATAAAAGCCTCACTTCTCAGTTATATAGAGAACTGAGTCAAATTTATAAGGATACAAGTCATTTCTCAATTGATAAATGGTCAAAGGATATGAATACAGGCAGTTTTTAGATGAAGAAATCAAAGCTATCTATGGTCATAAGAAAAAATGCTCTAAATCACTATTAATTAGAGAGATGCAAATTAAAACAACTTTGAGGTACTTTACAACTATCAGATTGGCTAATATGACAAAAAAGGAAAATGATAAATGTTGGAGAGGATGTGGGAAAATTGGGACACTGTTGGTAGAGTTGTGAACTGATCCAATCATTCTGGGGAGCAATTTGGAACTACACCCAAAAGGCAATCAAACTGTGCATACCCTTTGACCCAGCAATATCACTACTAGGTTTGTATCCCAAAGAGATCATAAATAAAGAGATAAAGACCTACATGTACAAAAATATTTGTAGCAGTTCTTTTTGTGGTGGCAAAGAATTGGAAGTTGAGGGGCTGCCCATCCATTGGGGAATGCCTGAACAAGATGTACATGAATGTAATGGAATACTATTGTGCTATAAGAAATGACAAGGAGGCAGATTTCAGAAAAACCTGGGAAGACTTACAGGAACTGATGCAAAGTCAAGTGAGCAGAACCAAGAAAACATTGTATACAGTAAGAACAACATTGTGTGATGATCAACTATGATTGACTTAGCTCTTCTCAGCAATACAATGATCCAAGACAATTCCAAAAGACGCAGGATGGAAAATGCTATCCACCATCAGAGAAAGAACTGATGTAGAACTGAATGCAGATCGAAGCATACTATTTTCACTTTATTTTTCATTTTATTTTTCCTTTTGCAAACTGTAATTTTTTGCAAACTGTTTCTCCTTTCATAACATGACTAATAAGGAAATATGTTTTACATGATTGCACTTATATAACCTATATAAAATTTCTTACCATCTTAGGGAGGGAGAAAATTTGGAAGTCCTAATTTTATAAAAAAAATGAAAGTTAAAATTTTTCTTTACATGTAATTAAGAGAAAATAAAATATTATTTGAAAAAACTATTAGACCTAGCTATAAAAGCTAGAGAAACAAGGATGCTTCAATTAGTACTAAAAAGTGCTTATGCAAGACACATCTGGTCAGATCTCAGGCCAACTCACAAAGCATTTAGCTCAGTCTTGCTACATAGTAGAATGATCACTGGACTAGGAAGTCAGAAGATTTGAGTTTCAGAACTGGCTCTGACTAGAGATGTGACCATGTGCACTGGAGTAGGGAATTCCCTGTGCCAATTAAACAAAAACCTCCATGATATGTCCCCTCAGGTAACTGCAAAGACAAGGGTCCCTACAGAAAACTTTTCTAAGTGTTCAACATCTTTATAGAGATGCTTCTTGGGCTAATGTGAATACTCACACTAAGGAAAGAGCTGGCTTTCATGAGGCACTTAGGGCTGGCTCTGTTGGTGCCCAGAACAAGGAAGGCCCATAAACAATCACTTAAGTTTGCAAATATGCTGTATTAGTGTTACTTTGTTGTATTGTGATTCTACTTTGTTGTACTGTGTGCTGGATCCCTTCCCTCCACCAATGCAGAATGTGACCTCTATAAATAACTACAGGCAAAATAAAATTCACTGCTTTACAGTCAACCTTTTGGTAACAAGTCCCTCTCTATTTAGCCAAGCTAGTCCTTGACTGCCCCTCCTGGATCACTGCCTTATCATGGCAGAGGGGCTTGCATAGCTGGAGAATGAAGTCAAATGGGCCTCAGGAAGCACTGCTAACACTGAGGCTAGTGGAGATAATGGAATTCCAGCTAAGCGATTTAAAATCCTAGAAGATGATGCTGTTAACATACTGCACTCAATATGCCAGCAAATTTGGAAAACTCAACAGTGGCCATTGGATTGGAAAAGATCAGTTTACATCCCAATCCTAAAGAAGGACAATGCCAAAGAATGTTCCAAGTACTGAACAATTTCACTCATTTCACATTCCAGCAAGATTATACTTAAGATTCTGCAAACTAGGCTTCAGAAAAATGTGAACCGAGAATTACCAGAAGAATAGGCTGTTTTTGAAGAGGCAGAGGAAGTAGAGACCAAATTGCCATCATTTGCTGGATTATGGAGAAAACAAGGGAGTTCCAGAAAAATACGTACTTCTGTTGCACTGATTAAATTAAAGCCTCTGATTGTATGGATCACAACAAAATGTGGCAAGTCCTCAAAGAAATGAGAGTACCAGATCATCTTACCTGCCTCCTGAGGAACCTGTATGCAGGCTAAGAAGCAACAGTTAGAACTGAACATGGAATAATTGATTGGAGTTAAGGTTGCTGAAGGAAATAACAATCTCAGATATGCAGATGATACCACTCTGATGGCAAAAAGTGAAAAAGAATTGAGAAGCCTCTTGAAGAAGGTGAAAGAGGAGAGAGTAAAAGCCGTCTTAAAGCTTAACACCAAAAAAACTAATATTTTGACAACTAGTCCCATCACTTCCTGGCAAATAGAGGGAGAAGAAATGGAAGCAGTGCCAGATTTTATATTCTTGGTTTCAAAGATCACTGCGGACAGTGACTGCAGCCATGAAATTAAAAGATGCTTGCTCCTTGGAAGGAAAGCTATGGCAAATATGAACAGCATACTAAAAAGCAGAGACATCACCTTGTCAGCAAAGGTCTGTGTAGTCAAAGCTAGGTTTTTCCAGTAACAATGTATTGCTGTGAGGGCAGGACTATACAGAACTGATGCTTTTCAATTGTGGTGCTGGAGAAGACTTTTGAGAGTCCCTTTGGACAGCAAGGAGATCAAATCAATCAATACTTACAGAAATTAATTCAGGCTATTCACTAGAAGGTCAAATACTGAAGCTGAAGGTTAAATACTTTGGTCACATAATGAGAAGACAGGAATCACTGGAAAAGACCCTGATATTGGGAAAGATCGAAGGCATAAGGAAAGGGGAACGGCAGAGGGGTGAGGTGGATAGTGTCATGGATGCAACAAACATGAGCCTGGACAGACTTTGGGAGATAATGGAAGACAGGAGGGCCTGTCATGCTACAGTCCATAGGGTCACAAAGGGTCAGACACAACTGAACAACAATGAGTCCTTGAATGAGAGACAGAAAGAATCCATCACTGGGTCAACATTCAAAGCTTTCCCAGCTTGGTGCAGCCTTTGAGAATCCAGAGAGCACTTTCATATGACAGCGAGGTTATCAGAGGGAGACTTTAGTGGAGGTTCAATACTATGTAATTTTGACTAATAATAAATTATAATATAGTTAGTATTTTACTTCTACTCAGTTAATGCGTTCTTTCTAATGAAGTTTCTTCTCAGTGCTCTGAAAAGTATAAAAAGACGGATTTTGTTATATTTAGGAATTGCTACAAGTGGAGCCTGAAAAGCTGACGGCAAGCCCTCAATACAGTTACATCTTAGAGCTAGGAGACAGAGGGCTACCGAGTGCAAAACAAGATGGATCCCAAAACTTAGGACAAGATATCTTAGAGGCAGGAAACCTAGGTCAAGAAATGGTGGATGAAGTGAAAAGAAATTTTCTAGAAGTAGTGCTTCCTGTGGGAGGAGTTAAAGCCAGCTAACTCATGAGATTCAGATATCCCCTAGGTATCAAGAGGAAGTAGACAGCTTCACTATAAAGTAAACTATAATCTTAAAAAAACTGTAATGTGACACAAGAGTTCTACTGAAAAAAAGACGGTAGTAGTGTAACAGCAAGTTATATTACAAGTGCAAAGAGAAGGGAGACAAGTCTAGTGGAGTCTAAAAAGGAAAAGTTGGAAAATACCAATGTCAGTGGGAGAGTTGGGATGACTAGGCACTAGTATTTTAGTTTGTGTGGCAATAGAACCTTTTTAAGATGGAGAAAGGTGATTTGGCTACCATAGCTTTAAGGCCATTCAGCAATCTTTGTTCTAATTCTACCTTCACCAAATAACCTTCTAATATAATGTTAGACAGGTGCGTCAACACTGGGAAGGGGGTGCCTAGACCAGATGAACAAATGACAAAGCAGTCTTGTGTTAGTTGAATTGCCATATGCCCCCTTTCCCAAGTTATTATTTCCCTGGATAAAAAGACTGCTCAGATTCCACTGAAAGACCAGAGGCTGGACGTGTGGTGATAACAGCAAAGCAGAACATCTATGAGGCCCAACCTGACCAGGCAAGGTTTTCCTATCAATTTGTACTCATTTTAATAACATTCAATTCATACGCTTTCACAACTATGTGCATGAGACTGAGACAATAACCACTGCTACTACAGATGCCACTCCCTAGTTCAGCACAGGACAGCCAAAAGACCTTTCATTGTTTTAAATGTCAGTATACTCTCTGTGGAAATATTGGTGTGGGCAGAAAATGTATTCTATACTTATTCAGGTGACTATAGGGAGTTCCTTCTCGCGCATTCTCAAGTGACTTTCAAATGACTTACTGAGAGTTTCGATCATTACTGCCTAAAATTTTTTAAAGAGGGAATAAGTTTAAGGTTTTTAACATTTGCACCTGTAATCAAAATAAAAGTCGGCCACATCTGCAAAGTAAAAGAGACTGTTTGAGTCTTACCTTTCCTCCTCTTTTTGACATCTTTCCCATTCTTCTCGCTCTCTTAGTTCTCGAGCAAGCTGTAGTTTTTCCACCAAAATTTTAGCAGGTTTTTCAGCCCATGTGGACCCTGCTCCCGTTTTACTACTGGGCTCTATTTTGAATAAAAGTTTAAATGATTCAATTGGATTAGTAGGAAGTACAACCCCAAATTAAGAGACTATATACAAATGGAAGCATTAAAGACTAAAAAATACATGCAAGAGAGTAGGAATCATGATTCGTTGTACCTGTTCTTGAACCAAAATAAAACAAAACAATCCAAATCCCAGTGTCAGTTTTTAACAACTTGTTCCAAAGTGTAATTCATCTCTAATAAAAATAGCTGCTTTGAGATAACTGTATAGGAGTAAGCTCAATGGGAAAAGGAAAAAAACTTTAACAGGGAAGAACAATATGCTAGAGCAGAGAAGGATTGGATTTAGAATCAAGAGAACCTGGATTTGAATCTTGGCTCTGCCACTTACTACCTGTGTGACAATGCACTATTTCTCTTCTTTGACCTTCAGTTTCCTCATCCGTAAAATGAGAGGGTTGGCCCCTAAATCCCTGCCAGCTCTAAACGTAAGAGATGGACAATGGCTAGAGTATAGTCAGCATGGTTTGGAAATGGCCAGAACCCCAACAAGCCAATGGGACTATAGGCTGCATTAAGAGAGGCCTAACGTCTGGAAGAAGAGAGGTCATGGTCCCAGTCAGACCACATGGGGAGTATTATGTTTAGACATTTGAAGAAGGACATTGACAAGCTGGGACGATGACCTAGATAGTGAGAGGGCTAAACACCATACCCTAAGAGGATTGGTTAAAGGAACTAAAGAAGGTCTTAGCTTCTTAGCTAGAAAAGAGAAGACTTAGAGGGAACATGATCACTGTCTTCACATATTTCAAGGGCTGTCAGGTAAAACAGGGATGATGCTTGCTTTGCCTGGCTCCAGAGGAAAGAACTTGGCTCAGTGAGTAGACACAGCAAAGAGGCAGGTTTTGGCTCAAACTTCCTAAAAATGAAAAACTGCCCAGATTGCCCCAAAGTGGAACTGGCTGCCCCATCAACAAAGTTGTTCAAGTAGAAGCTACATGATCACTGGCGGGCCCGCATGGAGAGGATTTTTACTCAGGTTGGGGCTGAATGGTTTCAGGTTCCTTCCAACTATGAAATTTTGGGATTCGGAACATAAAGTAATAAAAACCCCTAAGATATCGATCCTCTCAAGTCCAGCAGGCTTTATTAATCTTTTTGGTTCCTAGGTCAACATTTTCTTCTCAGAGCAACAGAACTAATCAAACTCCAGGGAATTCTACACAGTAGGTCCCAATCACACTCCAGCTTGTTATCGTTAAGTCATGACTGCCTCAGGATTCCAGAAGATGGCCAAAGTCAGCCACAGCACAAATTAATCAGCCACTTCCATACTGTTGTGCTGCAGCTCCCTGAGGTTGTTTCCCAGAATTGGCAACATTTGTTTTTCCAAGAAGTGCCAGGCCCAAAGTTAAAAACAACAGAAGGGTTACACAGCAGTACTGCATCCACTGACTTAGGTGATAAATCATAAAACTTTGTACTCTGTTCTACATCTGATACTTTCCAAAAAGTCCAAAATAATCAAACAGGTGCTTCTATTGACTGCTCCTAATTCTGTCTTCTGGAGATAGGCAGAGCAAGCCTAATTTGATTTCTACTTGACAGACCTTCAAACATGCAAAGACAATGATAACATTGGATTCACCATACCCCTGGTGTCCTATAGAGCAGATAATAAATGCCTCCTAATGATGATGATGTTGACGATGATAGAAGCCTAGAATGGGAGTCAGGAGACCTGTGTTCAAATCCCAGGGGAAACATTTACAAGCTGTGTGACCATGGGCAATTCACTTAACTTCTCAAGAGCCTCAGTTTCCTCATCTGCAAAAATGGGAATAATTAAAGCCTGTATTACTTAGTTTATGGGGCTATTGTTAGGAGAGTGTTTTGCAAACTTTCAAGTACTATAAAAATGTGAGTTATTTTTCCTGAATAAATAGGACCCAAAGAGCAACAGGTTGGTATTGCTGAGTTTGGCTTAATATTCCAAAGCCTCCCAAAACTTATGAAGTGATAATATTTAGCTAAGCTAGATGCTTGAAATGACCAGCTTAAGTTGTGGAGTACAGATGATGAGACATACCCCCAATTTCTAAGTAAAGAGGTGGAGGGCTATAGGAGCAGAATGGTGTATATGCTGACAGATACTACCATTTTCTTGGCCGATTTTAACTTGTTTTCTTTGTTATAAGGGTAGGGTTTAATTAAGGGGTTAAGGAGTATATAAAGAAATCACTGGCATAAGCTAGTTTACCTATATGTTTAGAGTATTAACATTTTTTCTTCCCTTATCTTTAGAAGATAGATATTTTCTTCAATTAAATTCAACCAAGATCCTTTTTTTCTTATGACGTCAGAATTTAGGAATCTACTAACATTATGAGTCATCAGAAAAATGTAAAATGGAAGAAATTCTGATTTAACTGAAAGGAAGAAAATCAAAATTGGCTGTCAGGGTCAATTAAATAGAAAATATGGCAAAAATGGCAATTTTCTGACATAGGGCAAAAAAGCAGAGAATGCAAACAGTCAGAATAATTTGACAGACTTTTTTAAAGTTGCTGGAAGGCCAATTTCAACAAAAATTCACATCTTCATCCAAACAAAAAAAGCATTCTACCCGAAAATTGTTCTGTAGGTTTTATAGTTCACTCATTTCAAAATTAAATAGCACACTGCATCTTTAATCACATATTTTTCTCTTTCTGCAGAGCTTTTTTTTCTTGCCACGAAGAAAGAGGCAGTGGTTCATGTGGGCAAATGCTTCTATTGCAGCTGCTACTGCCCACAGAGAATTCTGAGTGTTGGCAGCTGGTAGCCAGGAGCATAATCATCCCTTTAGTTGAGACTTTGAAGGTTTAATCCTAGAATTTACAGTTGAAATCACCTAAGCAAGGACCATCATTTCACAGAGAAGCAAACTGAGGCCTAGAGAGAAGTGACTTGCTTAAGGTTAAAATCACCTAATTATCTAGGCAGTGTCAAGGCTAGAACCCAGGTGTCCTGACTGCTAAGTGAAGTTCTTTACATTACACTCTGTTACTTCCCTAATAATACCTACAACCCTAAAGACCTAAGTATCTAAGAGCTTGTCACATCCACCATCTAAAATATTACCAAATGGCTAATTGCCACCAAAAGGATACAGTTCTATTTTGTTACAGGGTCTCCTTTGGGGCTATATCTATAGAAAGCAGGTTAGTATTGGGAGGTGAGAAAAAAAGCACAGTAGAAGGTAATCTCTTAGACCCTAAGCATGAGGGAAAGAAAAAAGTTCTACACTTTAATATAATGAAGCAAAGAATCTGTTTTAGGGGGGAAAAGGTTCTCTAATGGGAACAGGGGAGTTCTAGGCATCACGTCTTGGACAAGCAGTCAAAGGCATGCTCTCACACTTGCCACTCCAATGAAGAAAGATCATGTCCCCTTCCATGAAAAAAGTTAAAAGAGAATCTGAAAGCCACTAGAATTTGATACCTTAATTTTTCAGATGGCAAATCAAAGGAAAAGAAAGATCAGATGTTTGGTCAGGGGCCTGATGCAGAAAAATTTCACCTAGGGTAGAGTTCTTAACCTGGAGTTTGTGAATTTTTTATTATATTGATAACCATATTTCAACATAATTGCTTTCTTTTCATTTAGCCTCTCAGCCTCAGCTTCTTCATCTATAGAATGAGAATAATTACATCTACCTCAAAGGGTTGTTATGAGGATAAAATGAGATAACTGTGTAAAATGCTTTTCAAACCTTAAAAAGTTATATAAAATGCTGTTATTTGTAATTTGATGTATTTTATTTTATGCATTTAAAAAAATGATTCTGAGAAGGGGTCCATAGGCTTCACAAGCCTTGACCAGGGGGTCCAGGACAAAAAATGGTTAAGAATCTCTGCCCTAGAGGATAACTGGGGCCCAAGAAAAATTCTCTTCTCTGGCAGGGGAGCCACACTTCCCTCTCCCCTGCCAGAGAAGACAGAGGTTGCTTGGGGATGCTAGCTGGATGGAGGGCAGGAGGGAGACAGAAGAAAAAGAACTTCTCTACCTCCACACCTTCTCAGTTCTACCATCATCAGGACAGGACAAAGAAGCTTGAGAAAGCAGAGATATATCAATTAAAATAGCAATAAGATAAGTGAATAATGGAATAAGATAAAACAATAACAAAATTTCTATGGAAAAATAGTCAAGTATATCAAAAGAAATTATGAAGACAAAAAAGGAAGGTGGATTGTGTACTTCTTCATCTCAAATCATACTCTAAAGGACCAATTATTAAAACTATGTAAAATACAGGTCAACAAAACTATCTAAAGAACCAAAACGATCTAAAATATAGAACAGATCAAATTAACTCTGACCTATATAACCAATGGCATACACAGATTAGTATCTGACACATCACTGTTTTGCTCCAAAATCCTCAATGGCTCTCCAATGCTTGCAGGATTAAAAAAAGAAAAAGAAAAAGAAAATTCCTCAGCTCACCATGTCAAGCTGCCCCCAATCTGGCTCTAACCTACCTTTCCAGACTTATTTTTCATTAATTCCCTTCCAACAATCTACAAAGCACACTGACTGGTTGTTCCCCAAACTCAACATTCTCTTCTGACCATCTCCATGCCTTCCCTGACCTCCTCCCTCTCCCCTTGACCTCTTAGCTTCCGTCAAGGTTCAGGTCTGGTACTACTTCCTAAGGGAAACCTTCCTGATGCCCTTAGGTGTGAGAGCATGCTCTCTCGCCTCAAATAGCTTTGTATTTACTTATCTAGGTATAAAGGTATTATATCTTTCATAACTGTGTAGAGGTAAAAAAAATGCCTAGATATTGCATAAACAGAAGAAATTCTAGGAGAACAAATAGATGAGTTTATCACATAAAAAGAAAGTTTTTGCACATCAAAAAGTAATGCATCTAGAAAATCTTTCTGAGCAATATTTTTAATTGAAGTTTGATATCATCTTTAAGAAGTGGTCAAAGGACATGAACAAGGAGATCTCTAAAGAACAAAACACCAATTATCAACAGCAACATAAAAAAGTTCTGACTCTTCAAAATAACCAGAAAAAAAGCAAGTTGAATAATTGTAAGCTATCAACTTCCACCCACCAAGTTGGCAAGGTTAGTTGAAAACAGTAAGATTCAATGTTGGTGTGGCTGTGGGAAAATAGCCCCACTCCAACACCGCTGGTGAAGCTGCAAAGTGGTGCAATCTTTTTGAAAAGCAAAAAGCAATTATATAGTAAGAAACCTACTACTCACAGCCTTTGAACCAGTGATCCCACTACAACTTTGTAAAAGGGAATTGACATTTTTTAAGCAAACTGTACACAACAGAAGTTCATAGTTTCATATTTAACCATTTACTGTAATTTATATTGTTACCATTAATAGAAATAGTCATGCACTGGTACCCACATATTACAAGGAGATCTCTATGGGGAGGCCTTGGGAACATTAGGTGCACCCCTGTGCAATATTTACAAGAGTATGTGGACACAAGTTACACAGGACAAGAATGCACATTTGAGCTGCAATCTGCACTGTAGAAGAGAATACCCACATGGATGAGATTGTGGATCCATTCAATTACTGTAATACCTGACATTTATGTAGTATGCTTTAAGGATTACAAAATACTTTAAATCTAGTATTATTTTCCATTTATTCTTGGGTTTTTGTTGATAGTATCCATCCATCCATTTTTTGGGGGGTGAGGCAATCAGGGTTAAGTGACTTGCCCAGGGTCACACAGCTAGCAAGTGTCCGAGGTCGAATTTGAACTCAGGTCCTCCTGACTCCAGGGCCAGTGTTCTATCCAGTACACCACCAAGATGCCCCTGTATCTATCCATTTTTGTAACGAGAGAAAAGAACTAGAGATTGGACCTTGAGGGGGCTCCACATTTAGGGGTACACCAGAAATTTTTCCACAAAGGGCTTGCAGTTTAGGTGTGGTAGAATTCCCTACCTTGATTAAAGCAGCATATTACAATGAGTGGATTGACTGGATTTGGAATCAGGAGACATGAGTTCAAATCCTGCCTAAGGAACTTATGCTTGATCATGGGCTGGTCCCTTAAACTCTCAAAACCTGTTTCCTCATCTGTAAAAAGGGGATAACACCTGCAATATCTAATTCACAGGATTACTGTGAGGAACACACTTTGTAAAACTCAAGGTGGCCAAGCATCGTAGAATGCACCTGTAGTCCCTGCTGCCAGGGAGGCTGAGACTGGCAGATCTCTGAGCCAATCACATGTCCACACTAAATCCGGTTATCACTATGGGGACCCCATGGGGGAAAGGGAGGGGCAAACTGGTCCAGGTTGGAAATGGAGCAGGTCAAAACTCTCATGCTTATCAGTGAGAGAAACAGGCCTATGAGTAGCCCCTGAATTTCCAGCCTAGTCAAGACAGGCTCAAAACAAACAAACCCAAAGCATTATATAAATGTTGTTATTGTTGTTATTATTAACAATAATAAATCACAGCCAAGTTCAGTAACAATACTAATGATAAACCATAATCTATGAGAGTTTAAGGGCAAATTCTTTTTAGAACTCAAGCTGGCATAAAGGAAATGCCATGCTAGGTACCATTCTTCTACCGAGTCCCTGGAACTCAGTTAACTATTTCCAAAACAAGCTTTTTAACCGAGTCCTTACACCAGAATCTTTTAATATGATCATTATACCTTCTTTGGTCTTTCCAGCAGATGCTACTCTTTCTTTCTCTGAAGCTGGTGATGTTCGCTGTTCATGTTTTCTATTTTCTTCACATGTATCTTTTGGTTTTCTATCTGTTTCAGGTATTCTACTCTTTTTGGTAATATTTATAACAGTTGGTGTGATCAAGGGGCGTTGAATAGGTTTAAGAGCTGGTTTTAAAACACAGGTGGGAGATGATTGCTGCTGTTTTGCTGAAACAGGTGAAGGTGGGCGACTTCCTTGAGTTGGTCTGCTGAGGAAAAAGAAACAGTATGGTTTTTTAAAAAAGAAATGTATGCTAATGTATGTGAAAGCACTTCAAAAAGCATAAAGCACTATGCAAACATGAAGTAGCATTATCATTACTACACAATCCTGAATATAGGCCACAAATTTTTCCCAAATGTGGCTTGAGTATAACCTGAACATTATATATAATTGGTATTATTTTTAGTGCACACTTCTATATATTTCCTTTCAAAAAGATATCATTTTAGGAAGGGCAGCCTATATTCAGATTAAGAGAGTAAAATCTGTGAGTTTTCATAGCCTAATTAAAAAGCAAAAAACATTTAACTCAATGACTTTTAAGGTCCCTTCTAATTCTTGAGATCCTGAAATATCACCTTTTAAAATGGACTGAATTTAAGTTATTGTATATTCTGTTTTACACAAATTCTAAAACAGGGAAATTAACTTATTCAGGCCAAATATGTGGCATGGAACAATTTCATATTAGCTACTTACTTTGATGTAGAGGGAGATGGAGGATGCTTAACATTAGCAGGGGAAGGTGATCTCTTACGGGCTGATAAAGATGGTGATGGAGCTCGCCTTGCAGTATGAGTTGACACATACTTGTCCACCTCTGACTTCTGAGTGGATAAACAAAATGAGGAATCCCTAAAATTTATGGCTATGCTTTGGTATAAAAATAATTCTACCTAAGAACAACTTAAATTGCTAGAGGAATATTTAGTGCCTGTGGCTAGGCCACACCAATATAATAAAAATGACAATACTACCAAAGTCAATTTACATTTTTGAAGCTGTACTAATCAAATTACAAAGAGGATACTTCAAACAACTTGATAAAATAATAACAAAACTAATTTGGAAAAACAAAAGATCTAGAACATAAAAGGGAAATGATGAAAAGAGGTTAAGGACAAAGAGAGAATAGTACTTCCAGACCTCAAATTACATTATAAAGCAGCAGTCATCAAAGCCATCTGGCATTGGTTAAGAAAGAGAGGCAGATTGATGGAACAGATTAGACAAGAGAGAATCAGAAACAATGGAACTCAATAACCCAGTACTTGATAAACCAGAATACATACAATACTTAGGAGAGAACTCCTTCCTTGAAAAAAACTGCTGGGAAAACTGGAAAACAGTTTGGCAGAACTTAAGCTTAGATCAATACCTTATACTACTTTCCATAATATGTTCTACATGGATCCACCACCTTAATATTAAAGATCATAATATTAAAAAAATTAGAGGAGAAATTGATCATATACTTCTCACAGGTATAGGTAGGTGATATATTCTTAACCAAACAAGGGAAAGAGACAATTGCAAAAGATAAAAATGGGAACTGATTACACGAAACTGAAAAGCTTCTGCACAGACAATATTAATGCACCTAGGATAAGAAGAGAAGTGGTCAAATAATAACCTTTGTCTCAGACTTCTTTGATGAGATTGGTCTCCAAAATCCATAAAAAATTAACAAATATACATAAGACTAACAGCCATACTCCAATAGATAAAGTAGTCAAAGGATATCAACAAACATTTCTCAAAAGAAGAATTGCAAAGTATTCACAACCACTTGAAAGAAGGCTCCAAATCAATTGTAATAAGAGAAATACATCATCAAAACAGCCCTGAGGTTTTACCTCATATCCTGCAAATTGGCAAAGATGACAAAAATGGCAATATCCAATGTTGGAGAGATTGTGAAATGATAAGCACATTAGTGCATTGCTGGTGGAGCAACAAATTGGTACAGCCATTTTGGAAAGCGATTTGGTTGGAATCATGTGAACAAAGTGACTAAAATGTCCACACCCTTTGACCCAGAGACTCCATTACTGAGTTCATACCCCAAGGAAGCCAATGACAAGAAGCAGGTCCCCATATACACCAAAATATTTGTAGCAGGACTTTTTGTGGCAGCAAAGAATTGGAAACAAAGTAGATAAATCCTCCCCCATCAATGAGGGAATGGACAAATGAAATAAAGTATTAGTGCACTGTAAGAAATGATAAATGTGATACATACAGAGAAGTATGGGAAGATCTATATGAACTGATGTAGAGTGAAGTGAGAAGAGCAACAAACAATACACATAAAGACTACAACAACATAAACAGAAAGAACCACACACATGCAACACACACCCTGCCCCCCCCAAGTGAATGAAGCAAAATTATGAAGTTGTCAAGCATGACATCAATGAAGAGATACTATGAGAGGACACCCCCAACCCACCCCTTTGTGGGTTTTTGGACTTTTTTTTTTTAAGGCAATTGGGGTTAAGTGACTTGCCCAGGGTCACACAGCTAGTAAGTGTCAAGTGTTTGGTCAGAGGAAGAATTTGAACTCAGGTCCTCTGGACTTCAGGGCCGGTGCTCTATCCACTGTGCCACCTAGCTGTCCCCTTTTTGGACTTCTTAACGCATTGATTAGGCAAGATGATTTTTTTCCCCATCTCTTTCTCTTTTTTCTGTTTTTAAAAAATACAATTTGTAATATGTGGTAGCTTTCTAGGAGAGGGAGGAACACTGGGGATAATCATGATGATGGAAAAAAAACACCAATAAAAACTTACTTTTAAAAAATTCTATCTGCATGAAAAGATTATACTTAGAGATTCTTAAATGCCAAACCTTCACGATTCTTCAATATATGAGTATCTAGTACCAAGGCATGATAATGCTGAAAGAATCTTTTATTAGTTTTAAAGGAATCGTTTACTTCCAACAGGCACTTATCTTTCTTGTACTGCTTAGTACCTTTAATCAGTCTATGTGGTTTTATGTTTTCCTTATTTGTTGTCGATATACTGGCAAAAATGTACCTCATCTTTTAAAAGTTGTATTCATAATTATGACTAGCTTGAAGAGTGGCTCAGTGCAGTAATGGTCCAATCCAATAATTCAGTAATAACTTATGAAGTTGGATTAAAAAAAATTTTCATTTAAAATCAAGCCCCCTAGGGCAGCTAGGTGGCGCAGTGGATACAGCACCAGACTCAGGAGTTCAAATCCAGTCTCAACACTTACTAACTGTGTTACTCTGGGCAAGTGACTTAACCCCAATTGCCTCACCAAAAATAAATAAATACATAAATGAAATCAAGCCCCTGATACTATTTTTTTTCAAGTTTTTAAGTCAACCTAAAGGAACAAAGCTAAAAAAATAAACAAAAGTAATATCCTCAAAATACCAAAATGATTTTTTAAATATGCTTAAACATCTGCATTTATTCATCAGGTATCTGGAACCAATAACTTTCCTTCAAACCTTTTCCTTTCCAGATACAATACAAATAATCTGTTGTCCTAAACCTTTATAATGTAATGTATAAGCCCTGAATCGTGGTAAAGCCAAAAAATGCTGCAAATGGGTTTAGATAGGTCTTCACAAACTTCAGCTATTTGTATAACTGAAGCCAAAGGCCTTAAAAATGTAGCCACAGGTAAGCACTGCTTGGCCACCAATAGGCCCAATTTGGCCATTAGCCAGTGAAGCAAACTCCAAGAGAGATTCACATACCAGGCTCTCTGTTACTGAAGTGAAAAGCCAGAAGAGTTGAGCTGGAAGATGCGATGATTAGAGTGGGGTGTCCAGAAAAGGATCATAGTGCATTGGAAAGGTCACAGGGAAAAAGCGTGTATGTGTGTGTGTGTATGTCTCTCTCTCTCTCACAGGCAGAGAGGCATGGAAGAAGAGGTCCATATATGCAAGCCCTAAAAGGCAAGAGTAGGCATCCAGCTTTTAAATAAAAGGACTATCAACACTGTTAACATAATTGAGTACGCAAAATACACTTTCATGTTTCCATGAAGGTAGCCTCTCTGAAAATGGGTATTCTGCCAACTCTTAACTCTTCATGGATGAGTGAGTATACAATTTAGAGATTTTCTCAACTCTTTAGTTTCTGTCATCATCATCATTATGATTTCTTTTGATCACTTCCCTATTCACTTACTGCCTACCCTCTTCTCCACACTGCTCCACCCACAATTAGTAGGGGAAATTGGTTAAAGTCCAAAATGGCCAGCATTTGAATTTTTTGGCAACTCTTTTTAAAAATGGTTGAGGAATAGGGAAAAGTTTAAATCAATGGCTAAAACTATTTGAATTAGCCACATTCTGTTGCAAAATACCACTGATAACTAAGAATTTACTCTTTGGAAATCATATTACACTTTAATATATGTAACAAAACCATCCCAATCAAGATTAATGCAAATACATATTTCAGGAGACAAAAAAAAACCATCTTCAATATAAGAAAATTTGTAACAAACCTGTATAAAACCTGTAGCATTTGTTGAAACAGCTACCACGGAAGTCTTCGGTCTGTCAATGCTTCGGCTTCGCATGGGCATTCTCGGGGCCTGCGCTGGGCAGCTGATAGTACTGGAGGCAGCTGAATGAGGACAGAAGTGAAATTCTACAAAGTTAGGAATTTGACAAGACAAAACAGAGCCAAGTGCACAGTTTAAGAATAGGAAAAGAAAAAAGAGAAAAAGATTGTGTCTATTAGAAACCACAAAGATCACACAACAGCACGGGAAGCATATACTGAAAATGTGTCAAACACGAGACACCACCACCACCACCCAATTAATATTTCAAAAGCAACACTAAAGAATAATGACACCATGAAAGCAAGTCTATTTACTGTAGATAAAAATAAGATGCTTTTCCAAAGTCTATATGCAATATTTATTTCTCACTCAATCACACCGTACTTCACAATCAGCTTGTCAATAGAAAAATTATAAATTGTAAGTAACTAAAACATCTGTTTCAGGAAAATTAATCACACCACAGAAATAATTCCATGTTTGGTTTATATCCTAACTAAGCTAAACATCCCAATAGTTTACTGTTCTTCAATACTTCAAGGTTCTGTGATCATAGTGGTGGCTGCAGTATACAAGCCCTCCACACTTCAGTAATTGATTTAATGAGGTGTTTTGCTCAAAAGTATTCATCATCTGGTGGCCTCTCTACACTTAGCGAACTTGATTCTTGGGTGACAGACGCACACTCTACCTTCAGACTGGTACCTGAAGCCTTTCAAGCTGGGAAGGACCTGTGAAAACCCAGCATTCCATTCACTGGCAGAGCCTCTGAGAACACAAAGTCACTGCCACATCATGTTAAAAAAAAAAAAAAACCAACTGATAGACAAGCTTGATTCATTAAATATTCCAAATAGTGTCAAATTACTTCTCCTAGCATACAAATAGCGCTGACATTTTAAATTCTCCTTATAAAGACATATTTTAACTGCTTTGAGTTAGCTGATAAGACAACTAGGAGATATTTTCCTAAGAACAAGTAAACTGTATGTCCTCCTATATCTGAATATTGACTAGAACCTCCTTATAAATAATGAACTGTCACTTTAAAAAAAAAAGCATTACTATGCTTCTCATCCATTACCAAAAATAATTCAACATCAACCCAAGGGAACAGAAGATTAAATGTTAAGTCAAGTTTAAAACGTTATAGGTGGCAACTGAAATACTGTCCATCTCTAATGAAAACCCAACAAAACCACCAAGACTGCCTCTGCCCTCCATTCTCATATCTCTGACCATTACATAAGTGATGCATAAGCTTGGTCATCCTTACACTAAAAAACTTTCACTAAATACTGTGTATCTTCTGACTCAAGTTACATCTCCTTTGCCTGGCACAATCTGGTGCCATCCTATCTACCCTTCAAGCCTTGCAGTCCTCCTCACCACACATTCAATGCTCTAGCCAAACTGAACAATTCTCTGTACTCCAGAACATGCCTATGGATTTTTTCCCTCATGATTTTGTTGCCTACTGAAAGCCAATCTCCAGTAGATGGAAGGGGCTGTTTTGTTTTTGTCTGTCTCCCCAGGGATGCAAACCCTAGGCACAGCACCTTGCACAGAGTAGCCAATTAATAAATGTTTGGCATGTTTATTTTTTCTGTGAAAAAAGTCTTGACAAAAAGGAAACCTTGTTTTTGAACACCAAACTTCTGTGGAGAAAGCATTTTATTTAAATATCTACAAAATTCTACAGAAGTAAAATTGCAGTCTTTCCGACCAACACTTTATGCTACAAGAAAGCCAAAGGAAGCCTGTTGGTATTCCTAAGTACAGTGACTAGCTTTCAACTAGCTATAGAAGCTCGGGTAAATTGTGCGATTGTCTTGGGAATGACGCTTAGTTAAAGCAGAGAGTTAGAAATATCTAATATTTCAGAGTAAAACAAGATGGTGATTAGATGCAAAAAAAAAGTGACCTAAAAATCAGGGACACACAATTGGCTCAAAACAAGCTGAAGCATCAGAACAAGTAGGCCAAAGCAAGGCTGAATGAACCCCAAGCACACCAACATTAGCACTAGAATTCTGTGTCCTCACTGGCACCAAAGCAGCAAAAAGCAAAGAGAAAAAGGGCTAGGAGAGAGAACATGAAAGGGTAGTTGTAAAGAAGGAAAGAGAAGAGAATCTGGGAGAGGTAAGAGTCAATCAGAACAAAAGAAGTTAATACACTACATTTTTCACCAGGCACCTTGTGTGGATTTTATGCTATACACAGCTGTTTCTGGAACTCTAGAGGACACATATCCTAGAACTGAAATAGTCCCAGCAGAATTTCAAGTAGTTCACTTTTCCTAGTCTTCCTCCCCTAATTAAAATGGTAATGGGCAGTTCACTTGTATTTTTTTTTTTAAGGAAAAATGAAAACTCCCTCCATTAGTCTGTGAGCTCCTCAAGAGCAAGGACTATCTTTTGCCTTTCTTTGTAACTCCAGTGCTTAGCACAGTGCCTGGGCACCTAGTAGATGCTTCAAATCACTGCTTCCTGACTGAAGTAATGCATTACATTTCCTCTAAGGCTGGCGCTATGGTACTTTCTAAATTTCTCTGGATTTATTCACACATAGGCCAACAGATTAGTTTGCTTTTAAAAGGGGGATCAGGGGCCTCATCTATCTACTGTTATAATGCTACTGTGGTAGCCATAAAATAAATCTGTAACTGAACGTTGTGTGTAAAATACACAGTGCTATGTTATAGCGATTGATTCAAATAGTGACATGGCTAAGCTGGATATTAAGTCTCACTTTGTAAGTGCAAAAGCTAAAGCTCGCAGGCTTATTCCAAACGCCTGTTACCTGAGGGATCTTTTCCAGCAGCAGATAATACAGCGGCACTTTTGATTTTAGCTAAAGAAGCTTGCGTAGGGGCGAGAAGGCGATTGATTATACTAGTCTCCAGAGCACTGATCTGAAAGCGCCGAGCTGAATAATGAGAACAAATCAAAAAGGGTTCAACCAGAATTCTCACACAAATAAAGGCAAAGCAAGAAAGAGCAACATGAATGGCTTGCACATGATAAATTTCTTAGCATAAAAACAGAAGTAGTAATGAGAGCAACACATTATATCACAATAGGATTAAACACTGCAATTTGATAGGGTTGCATTGGTTATCCTGGTCTTCAAACACATGCAATGTTAATGAAGAGGTTAACTGAAGAAAAAAAAAGAAGGAAAAAGTCATAGTATACCACCAGCACACTAAATGAAAGCATTTGGGTAACGGGAATGCAGGAGCAGGCCCTGTATGGTATATAGTCTTTTTTAGAGGAACTCATGTGAACATCATGACTATATACAACTTAAGAAAACTTTGAAAATACTTTCAAATCAATTGCTGTTTTATGTTATTTTGCATACAAGTTCTCAAACCACTGACTCTCAAATACTACTTAAACTACATCACAGAAAAACCAAGGGACTATTGATAATTTCATAAATATTTAAGTTGGCTGGAATAATCCTCTTCCAATATGACTGGTACATAGTGTGGTGGATGACTTCACATCCCGCCTCTGACACTTACTGTCTATATGCCATGGGCAAGTCACTTAACCTTCTTGGGCCTCAATTTCCATCTGTAAAATAAGAACACTAACCTACAGCACCAATTTCACAGGGTTGTCATGAGGTTCAAAGAAGATAATGTGCATAAAAAGCTTTGCAAACTTTCAAGTGCTATATGAATATTGTCAGATAACAGCAGCTGGGGCCTACAAGCTGGGTGGTTTAGGATAAGTCACTAGAATCTTTAGGATGGGCCTCAGTTTCCCCATTTACAAAATGAAAGGGCTGAACTAAATGATCTAGAAGGTCCTTTCCAGCTGTATGTTCTAAATGTTTTTCCACAATGATATAGACTGTAATAAGATTTTACCTGTAGAAATAAGAAGTGACTTACATAAGGATTTGGTTTGGCAAAAAAAAAAAAATATATATATATATATATATATATATATATATGACCAAAGCTGTTTGAAAGGGAAATGTTAGTTAGGAAAAGAGCCTTGAAAAATCAGAAACTTTTAGTTTTGATATAGTAATTCTTAAAAGGTAATAGCTTATTATAAAATACTATGTTTCACCTTTATAAATATGAAAACATAATCTTATTTTCCTGACTCTGTACAAACAGGTCATAAAGACAACAGAAAACTTGCCTCAAAATGTGAAAACTAGCCACTAAGATTTAATTTCCAACGTCTGAAGTGCACTGAGTCCTCCAACACAACTCTATCTCTATCCCCCATGAACTATCTCTTCAGCTTAATTTTATATAGGCACACTCTACCATAATGTCACCTCTAATGGTGTCATTTCATGATAGTGTCATTAATATATTATAATGAATATCACTTCCTTCCCCTATCAATAACATTGCAAAACCCTACTAGGAGGTTATTTGGCTGATTACTCAAGACCCAAAGCAGATGGCACTTAAGCCCCAACAATGTTAACTCCTCATAACATTATTTCATCTGATATTGTGTTTTTTTCCGAAACCAGTTAACAACAGTGGATGGAATATGCTTGGAGTCACCCTGCTGAGCTACCTGAGCAATACTTGGCAAATTTTACTTAAGGTTTTCTGTTTTACTGGCTTCATTTATGGCATTTATGTTCATCTTTTTAGTTAGAGATAAATCCTTTGGTTTCTAACTGTGAGGATAACTTCTGAAGCAATTAAGATGACCTTTTAGGTTCTTCCACTTTGTCGAGGTCCGGAGACCAAAGGCATCAAACATACCACCCTGCAACACTCCCAAGTGCCACTGAACCAGATTAAAATGCCATTGGGAAAATAATTAACAAACTAAATAATAATACAATAAAACACAGATAACATGACATTGTAAAACTAAGTCAATCTGTGGCCTGCAGGGATCCTTATGTCTCCACTGGAGTCTGACCCTATTGGTGCAGAAAAAGTTGTCTCACTACAAGGTCTGGTCAAACATAAGCTTCTTTTCCTGCTTGCTCCTCTTAGAGACCAAATGCAAAGGAACATTACTTGAAACAAGCTATTTAAATAATGGCATTTGGAGTTGATCATTCAATTCTTTCCCATACTGGTAATAAGCATTTATTACTTTCCATATCTTACTTACAGATAAACTCTAAGAAAATGTAAGCTAATCTACCTTTCAAAACACTTTGCAAAACATAAGCAAGGAATAAATATAGCAATAAATTATTTATTTTTACTTACAGATATTATTATTAATAAAAAGAAATGAAACATTTAAACAAATGGGAAAATCAGTAGGATTAGAGAGAGTAGTAATAGTGTTTGATGATATCAAAGTCCTCCAAATTGAGGAATAAGCACACTGTAATTCTGTACATAGTCTCTGAAGTCTACTACTATTGTGTCTCAAATGTTTACTGCCCGCCCCCATTAGTGTTATATGTGCTGCAAATCTCACAATTTGAATAATCCCAACTGTTTTCTTTGTACTTTCCTAGTTTTACAAGGAAAACAAAACAAGGGAAAATGAGCCACGTCCTGGCCCTTGCTGGGGAGAGGCTGCTCAGAATGCTCAGGGCCTTTCTTTGTTAGGCCAGCTGCTCAAAGTACAAGTCCTCTGTTTGGCAGCTACAAAGTGAAAGCGCACACTGGCACATTCATGAAAACAGTACCAAGTCATTAGGAAGTTCCTTTGTCAACCGAAAAATGATCATTAATTAAGTCATCTGCTCAATTTATGAATTTTTTAAAAACATACCGCGAAAATAAAGTGATGAAATACTTTTAGAGTAAATTGTTATGCATCTTGAAGTGTTTATTTCCACTACCAAGTAGGAAAAACAGAAGGTTCTAATCATTCATGGTTTAAAAGAGAAATATTTACAATACTATGCATCTGATCGCGTAATTTACTTGTGTCTGTAATGTTGATCTTTGTAGACTAAACATGCTTCAAGTGTCAGAAGGGATTACTTAAAAGAAGACCTGGCAGATATTTATTTTGCCTTTTAAATGCCAGGTCTATCAGTTAATATCTTGTGACCTTGAGGTATAACAGGCAGTGGTGGCCTTGGAGTCAAAAGCTCCAGGTTCAAATCTGGCCTCAGATATTTTACTAGCTGTGTGATCAATAGCAAATCACTTAACCTTGCAGAAGCCTCATTTTTCTTATCTGTTTAATGAGGATAACAAAACTTGCACTACCTTCCTTACAGGTTTGTTGAAAGGAAAATATTTGCCAAACCTTAAAGCACTATTATCAATATGACTTCTTATTATAGGAAAGAAATCATTCCAATTTTACTACATGACTACCAACAATAATAATAATAATACTGACCTTCTTGCACCAAGAAAAAACTAAGGAAGCTTTGAGTGAATTGAAACCTTTTGGGTTTTACTTTATTAGGAAAGAAAATGTTTACCTTTGAAGCCTTATTTTTTACTATAAGCTTGATTATGAAAAGATCTCAAGATCAGGGAAAAAATACTAAGGACCTGGAAATATAAATAACCTAAGTAACCACGAAATTTTAAAAGACCTGTCATCTTGCTATTTAAAAAAAGAACCACAGGAAACAGAAACATATTGAAATGCTAAGATTTTACACGAAGATCAAATGCTTTAACATGATACAAGGAGCTGAACTACAAGTTACCACACTTTTTTCTGTAATGGAATCTGAATGTGTAACACACATACGGCACCAATAAACAACCGAAAAGAACGCTCCGTTCCTCAGCTTCTCCCCAATGACCTCCATTTTCTCAAATGCAGAAATTACCAGTCACTTTGAGGAAAATGGACACCACTCAGAGAGTGAGACTGTGGTAGTCTCTCACTGCTTTTCATCTGTATGAATTAAATGCTTCTGCTACTTTCATTTTTTCTGCTAATTGAATAAGAAACTTGAATTTTCCTACTATCCAACATGACCATCAAACATAATTCACTCAGTAAGTGATTACTATGATGGGAGCCACAAACTAACCCATGCCCTCAGTCTTCCCTAAACATTAATTATGTCAAACAATCGGAAGTTATGGACATGTCTATATACATGGCATCAGAGATTTAGAGCTGGAAAGGACCTTAGATGGCATTAGGTCCAACTCCTCCATTTTACAGATGAAGATAACTGAGGCACAGAGAAGTGAAGTGACTTGCCCAGGGTGACATAGCTAATAAGCGTCTGAGACAGAATTTAAACTTAACCATGCTCAGCACTCATCCATTACACCATCTAGCCAGTCATTAGTCACAATGAGTAGCTGGCAGTAGCTAATATATCACTAGCTGGGAGTAGCTAATATATCAACATAGTCCTTGGAAAAGAATTTTCATTGCTAACTTAGAATATAATGATTAATAAAATTATTTAACATGTAAACAGAAAAAAAGATAGAAACGTTTAGCCTCAAAACACTCTATAATTAAGTTTTGGTTTCTTTTAGTCACAATAAATAACACTTTGAATAGCAAATCATGCAATTCAAAGCCCAGTAAATCCATTTGGTAGGATTAATAAAAGAATCATAAACCAAGATTACACGTCAGTGAAAATGACATTGAAGGGATGATGAACAGCTCCTCTTCTTCAAAGGACAATGGAGGGATCATCCCAAATAAATTAAAATCTTGAAGAATATGAAGATTAATTTATACAATCAAAATAAACATGTAAAAAGAGTTCATCTCCCTGCACAGAAACCCATGAAACAACTACACTTACTCTTGTCAGAACTTGGAAGAGTTGCTGAAGATGAAGATAAACATTTATTGATAACGGAATCTGTTTGTTTGAGATTCGTTGGAAATGAAGCATATCTGTTGCCTGAAGGAAAAAAACCAGTATTTATTACAATCATAGCTCAAATATTTAAGCATCATTCTCTGAATCACAAGTGTTCACTGAAGCATAAGTATTCTGTCCTGAAAATGCATTTTTGTAATTTGGCTCTCAGATGAATATACACAATTAGGTACATGATGTTCAAGGTAAGTCATTAACTCTTAAGTCATACAAATTTCACCTGTTTTTGCAAATTTGTGTGGATTTCTATTCTAGGCATGGGAATAATTTATGCAGAGTCAGTAGAAAACATACTTGATTTTGTTTAGTTTATACTCTGTATAGAATAACCTATGAAACTTGGAAAGATGATAATAAGAAAAATTTGGTAAGCTGGCTAATTTCTTAAATCTAAAAGACAGTCTTCCATAATTATAGACTTTAAAATTAAAACTGGGATTAAAAGAAACGCACTAACTTAACCTTTCCCAAAGAACACAGAGAAATCATTTCAAAAATATTACAATGCTACTTTTAGAAATCCATCTACAATCCTGATATCAATTACTGGTTGATACTGGCTATGTCATGAAGAAAACAGGAAAACTAAAAAAGTTTTATATTTCTCGTATGAAAAAAAATCCATAAAACATATTATTTTAGTCATGCCCCAAAAGTCTTTTTCCATCAGATGGATTTGCTTAAACCAATTTCTTCTTCCACATCTTCATTATCCTAAAATAGGGCAAAAACTAGCAGCAAAAAACATTCCCAATTTAGTAACATATTTAAGAAAGCATTTTTTTAATAATTAAAGTAATATGAATTCAATAATTATTCCAATTTCAGATCAAATGTGGCCTCAATTGTTACTTATTTCTGATAGAACCAAATCAGAGCTTTTTCAGAATAGGATACCATAAGCCGGCAGAGGAAGAGATGTCTCACAAACAAACTCCTTTGTTAAGCAGCAATTGGTTAATATGTGAAATGCAGTTCAAAACAATACAACCAGACATTATAAGAAAGCATATGCGAAGGATATTGCCTGGCAAACCATACTGCATGACATTATAGCACAGGAAAAAACTGATTTCTAGTTGGCAATGGCAGAAGAACCAAGCCTTGGCATAGAAGCAATTACTCACCTTAACAGTGAGGTCCTTTTTCTTACCAATAACCTCAACCCAAAGACTGAAGAAAGCAGGCATGAAATAAGGAATCGATGACGATAAGGTAGCATGGTGGAGTCAGAGGAACTGGGTTCAAATTCTGGACCTGCTGTTTACCACCTGTTTCATCTTCCACAAGTCACTTCCCTTCTTTGGCCCTTAACCTGTTTATTTCTCTGTAAACTGAGAGGCTAAGGCTAGCTAACTTAGAAGGTCCCTTCTCCCTCAAATTCTCTAGGATTCAATTGTATGTTCTTCCCAGGACAAAGGAAGCGACGTGGAAGAATGCAAGGCTAGCACCCACCAGCGGTGGGGAATCTGTGGGGAATCCTCTAGGTCCTCAAGTGCAGCCCTTTGACTGAATCCAAACTTCACAGAACAAATCCCCTCAATAAAAAGATTTCTTCGGTAAAACTTGAACTTGGTCAAAAGGCCACAACCAAGGACCTAGAAGGCCACATGTGGCCTCGAGGCCACAGGTTCCCCACCCCTGAAACTAATACCATACCCAATCAACACTGGACAATTCTCCATCAGCCTAATGACCTGAATCGAGGAAGAAAGAAGTGTGTGCTCCCATAAACTAGGTTTTCTCCAGCATTTTTTTCTATATATTTTATTAAAGGAGGTTTCTGTTACAATCTGATCACTCCTGGTGGGATTAAGGTGTATTTTGGCTGTCATGACCAAAACGCCACCTCTCTTTTCTGTAATAGTTTTTATATTCATACTATTCGTTTCACCAGTGCTGTAAGGTCTGAAAAGCACTTTATACTCATTGTTACATTTGATCCTCACTACAATACTATGAGGTAGGTGCTATCATTATACCCAACTTACAATTGAGTAAACTGAGGCTCAGAGAGGTCAGGTCACTAACATACACAGCTGCCACTTCTGCTCCTTTCACCGCAGATAGCATTAGTACAATGTAATTTTTTTTTTTGGTGAGTCAATCAGGGTTAAGTGACTTGCCCAGGGTCACACTGCTAGTAAGTGTCAAGTGTCTGAGGCCAAATTTGAACTCAGGTCCTCCTACTCTATCCACTGCACCACCTAACTGCCCAGGTACAATGTAATTTTTAAAGTACGTGGGGACAACTTGTTTTCCCTAAGACTGATATGTTCTTTGAGTCTTTTCTACTGGTGAACTCGGACACCCAACTAATATACAGCATAGAATGTGGTGATATACAGTATGCCTACAAGGGCCAATGTCTCCTGCCACGAGATCTGTGGCACCATCTCCTGGGCATCTGAAACTTCTCATAACTCAAGGACCCAGATCTGAGTTTTCCTCATTTTAAGTGGAAAAGGTTTTAGGGCACATCTCCATTTCCTCTTCTGGAAGCCATAAGAAGTGCAAAGGTCTCTTGGGTTCATGACTAAATCCTATGGGCCTGAAAATATCAACAAATGAAATACTAAAATTTAAAAGACTTGTTTTGATATTTTACAAGTTCCAAAGGAAACATAAGCATGTTAAAATAGTGGTATTTTACACAAATATAAAATCATTTTTCCTGATACAAGGATCTGAACTTCAAGGAAGTAGTCCTACAGCAGATTCTTCTACTGCAACACAGAAACTAGGAAAGCCTCTGCATAGCCTTTGATAGGCTCATGCCAGGCTGGAGACACAACAGAAGTTTGATGTACAGGGTCCTTTAGGTTACTCTCTGGCAAGATGGGCACAAAGGGGGGAGTGAATGGCACTGCTCACTATTTTCAAGAAGGTTGCATTTAGTTCTGCAATTTGCCAGAAGACTATACATAAAATATACTATATATATAATATATACACACAACATACTAACCACTAGACCACAATATTCACCTAAGACTGCAGAGACAATGCCAAAGGCCTTACCCAATTAGTCCAATCTACAGTTATCATTCATTCCCGTCAACTGTTACAGTCTATATAATTCATTTGGCATAGTTTGACTTCTCACGAGTCTACGCCTGTCTTTTCATGCAGACTGTAAGCTTCTTGAGGGCAGGTCCTGTGTCATAATATACTGTATCCTTCACATACCTAGCATGATTTGTTGTGCCCTTAAGCACTCAGTTAGCCCCAGTTTATGAGTAATAGAACAGGGTCAGGGGTTCCACTAAACTGGCTTTGGGAACTGTGTGTCCATGTTTTCTTAAGAAAGGCCACAGTAGCTCAGGGCTTGGTGAGGGCGGTTGCCTTTAAGTCACGCAATCATGGATGTCCTAGAAAATCATCTGAGTGGATTAAGTATGGAGTTTATAATCAGTCAGCCAGGACATTACTTATCACAGATCTAATTATATGCCTACCTTGTGCAGGTCAATAATGCAAGACCAGATTTGGAGGCAGCACAGAACAGTCAGTCGACTAGCATTTATTAAGTGCCTCTTAGGTGCCAGGCAAGCACTGGACTAATGAAAAATGCACAATTTGGAATCGTTAGAGCTGGGCTCATAAGCAGCATCATGGTACAGTGGAAAGTGCTCAATTTGGCATAAGAGGACCTAGGTTGACATCGTGGCTCTGCCACTTACCATCTGGGTAATCTGGAACAACACCCTTAGGTTTTCTAGGCCTCACGTTTCTCACCTGGAAAATGAAGGGGTTGGACTAGATGGCTTTCTCTGAGATCCCCTCCAGCTCTAAAACTATGATCTTATGATACTTTACAACTTTGACACTTACTAGCTATGTGATTTTAAGCTGGTCATTTAATGATCTCTAAGCCTCAATTTCTTCATTCTCAATATAGGGCTAATAATTCCTGTGCTGCTTTTTTTTTCTTGCTAAGCATTTTGCAAATCATAAAGCTATCAATGGGAGTTATTTTAATGAATGACATGATAGAGACTGAGACTGTATAATAAGGCCATTTCTTGCTCACAGAATATTGGCCCAGAATAAAAACACTTGATTTGATGATCCACTCTGGCCATCACCTCTACTCCCTTCCCACTAGAAAACTGGATTCAGTTTCCTGGGCTTTGATAGGCCAACTGTGACCTTATCTTGCCTGGTTCTAGGCCTCCACAGCAGTTCCGGGATATTTCCAGCCAGGCACATAGCTCTACCCAGCACCCCTTTATGTACTGCCTTTCTCCATTCGCATGTAGTTTCCTCGAGGACAGGAACTGTCTAGCAGGCATTTATTTGTACCACCAGCATCAAAGTTTCTAGCCCAGACAACGCATCTAACAAATGCACTCTGTGTGTGTACAGGGACCTGCTGCAAAAGATGCCTCTCCAGGTTTGTAGGTATTTAAGAGTCAATTTCAATAGAGAGATACATGGTCTTAGAAAACATTTTCTTTAAAGTAGCAGGTTTTAGAAGAGGCTATGTTAGTGTTGAGAGTGGGGGGTTAACACAGAGTGCCAGTGCTGAAAGGGATCTCAGAAGCCATGTACCAGACCAAGAATTCCCTTTCCAACATTCCCAACAAGCGTTTGTGTAGACTTTGCTTTAAGGGCTCCAGTGACATGAAACCTACTACCTCCTGAGGCACCCCTGAGGAGTCACTTTTGGATAGATCTAATTGTTCCAAAGTTTTCCCTTACATATCTGCCCCTCTGGGCCCAAGCAGAATAAATCAAATCCCTCTTCTTTTAAATACTTAAAAGACAGCAATCAGGTGCCCCCTAAGCCCTCTATTTTCGAGGAGAAAACTTCTCATCCTTCAAAGGATCCTGGTATGGCCTATTCTTCAGTCCTCTCACCATCCTAGGTACCTTCTTCTAGTCAACTTTTCCCAAAATGTGGTGTCCCAATCTGAATGCAGCATCCTGCCCAAGGCAAAACACAGCCAAACAACTGCCTCCCTCCTTCTAGACACTAGGCCTTTTTAAATGCCGCCTAGAGCAGCAACAGATTTTCCTTGGCTGCCATGTCACACTCTGAGCTCAGGCTGAGCTTGCAGTCTACTAAAAACCCCAAGTATCTTTCACTGAAACTGTCATTTAGCCAAGCATCCCCTAGTCTGGATTTGTGGGACTGGTTTTTTAAAATCAAGGACAGAACTTCATACTTCATTTCTATTGAATCTTGTCTTACTGACTCTGACTCTTCATGCCAGGACTGTCATCTTGTCGGCTCTCATCAGCCAATGTGTCAGTCACCTCTCTAAGTTTCACATCATGTGCAAATATGACAAGTGTGCCTCTATGTCTTCACCTTAATCATGGACAAAACTGTAGAATGACTACAGGCAGATCTGGGGGCAGGGGGACTACTGTTCTACTAAAGACCTCCCTCCTCTAAGCTGCCACTTTCCCATTAATCACTACTTTGTGGGGGGTCTGGTCAATCAACCAGTTTCAAATGCCCCAAACTAAACTATCACCTAGCCTGTCTCTCCACCTTAAACTCCAAGCATTGCATGACAAACCTAATTGAATCCTTTGCCAAAATCTTTAAAGTATATCAAGTTGAGAGCATTCACCTGATCTACCAAATCTAGTCACCCTGTCAACTTTGGTGGTGGTACAAAGAGGGGGCATGTTAATGGCTACTTTCTAAAATGGGCCAACACTGAGCCAGGTCAAAAAACAAAACAAAACAAAACAAAAACAGAGGTGAAATGGAGTTGAGACAAACATAAAAGCAAATCTCTGGCTGCTTATCCATCCATTTACTTAACATAAATGCTGTCTTCTGGCATGGTGTTTCTTTTACTTACTGAATATTATTCACGACTTTTCTTAATGAAACTTGGCCCATTCTTCAAAATACTATTAGTCACTTTGTTTTGCTTTTGTAAAGAATGTTTCATGGCTGGTACATAGGGTTGGTGGGTTTTGATAGAAGTATTCTTCCCTAGCCCTGTCATTTTAACTACTTTATTCCCAATCTCCCGTCACCCTGCTATTCAGGCCCTTCCAGGGACCTACCTATCCTATGGCTCATTTCTAGCAAGGGTTTGTTCTTTGGATAGCTACCAAGCAACCTCAGCTAAGGTGTCTAATAGTATTTTCAAATATTCCTGTTATCAAGGGCATCTACATTTTAATAGGAAGCTCTTGACACCAGAAAAGCCGATCTCAAGGAAATCATCTCTAATGGCAGAATTTCAGGCACTGTAGAAGTGATATACGTAGTGAAGGAAGATATTTTTGGACAGAGAGGCCTCTCTGACATCTGTCTCTCAAATCACAACATACCAACTCTCTATTCTGGTCCGAGCTGAGTTTTTAATACCAAAAAAACCCCAACAACAGCAGCAACAGCAACAACAATAACAACAACAAACCACGGTAATTCAGATTATACCAGTTGGGAACCTGTGATCCTTTTGATGGAATGGGCTATTCATTGTTCCTATCTCCATAAAAAAAGAGCTTGCAATCAGCTGGGCAAGCATAACACTCGAGAAGGGGTAATTGTCAACCTTGAGAATAAGCTGTCTTCAAACATTTTTAGCAAGTCTAGTTTATCATGTCTATGTTAATAACTATATCAATATTTGAAAGCAATCCCACAAAGAACCACTATCAAGGCAAAATCACCAAACAATATAAGTTTTTATAGGTACTTTGAAGCATATAGCTGTATTTCCTAGGAAATATTTTGTATCATGGATCAATTCAGACTGGCTTCCCTCACTAAATTCTAGAGTACCTAATTCTGTGGACTAGCTGGTTCCCTAGGCCAGCTGATGTTAAATGCTGATTCCCAATTGCCATTCAGCCAACTATAACACTAAGCACTCATCTCATCACTGCCTAAAACCTTCAGTGACTGATTCCCATCACCTACTGAATAAAGTCTAGCATAATGATCAAGGCCTCCTGGAACTTGGAGCTTTCCTCCCTTTCCATTCCCTCAACTCGTCCTGCCTTTTCCCATTTCTCTGCCTTTAGTTATAGCATCCCCATGCCTGGAATGCATTCTCCTTGCCCCATTTTCACCCTCCTCCAATGCCGCTGCCATCTCCTCCAGGAGGACTCCTCTGATCCTTTCATGCCTTTAACGTGGCATTTTCTTTGTTACTTTCCTATGCATATACCTTATGTTATTCTCTACTACAGCAACTTGCATGTTATGTCCTTTCAACTATACTAAATGTAACTTTGATGAGGACAGGAATCTCTGTATCCCCAGTACTTAGCAGAGAGTTCACTGAGCATAAGAGGAACTTAATACATGTTTGTTAAGTGGAATAAAATTAGTCTGAATGAGTGAGATTTTCCTGTACAAGATCTAATACATGGCTATATATCTCTAGGGCCAGAATCCTGACAACTCTGACTCTGTGGCATATTTCCTTACCACTATGGCTTACTTCATCACAACTAGTGAAAGGGAAGCTTACAGCAGCATATGTTAGTGGAAAGTACATAGTAAGAGCAAGCAAGAATTTTGAAAACAAATACCACTGGATCCACCTTCTTCTGCAGTCTGTGGCTCTGTGGAAGAAGGGAGTTTGTCAACTAAATCTACGGGATTGGGTGGGGAAGCACTCGACAGACCTAAACAGAAAAACAGTTACAATACAGATGGAAAAATATAGACAGTGGTTTTAACTAAATACCAATAACACTAATAAAATCATATATATTCTTAAAACAGCCACAGATGATCACAAACGTTTACATTTAAGTGGACATTTATAAGTGACTAATGAAAAAAAATTCAAAAATAAGGTTTCAGGAAATTCTTGGACCACCACTTGTCCAACTCACCAATTTTCAGTAATTTTCAATTTTCTACTTATTGTTTCCTCTGTTCACTTTGTTAACTTAAGTCTTAAAAGTTTCAAAACTTAATTTTTTTAAAAGGTCCTCTTTTTCTATGGAAAAAGCTGATAAAAATTATTGTGCTTAATAAGGAGTCTCACATAACACACAGAGGATTACATATGCATCTACCATTTTTCAATCTTGGTGAATTAAATCTACCAAAATGTCAACTTCTTCATTTTAGTATATCAATCTAATGCTAATGTTATGTGGTTAAGTCTCACATTACTAACCAATATTTAGGTATAAACATTAAAAAATCATATAAAAATAAGCATTCTATTAAAATTGGGTTAATAACATGAAAAAATTCTTTGATTGCTTTTCTTTTTCACTACAGGCAATCAGTGCTACTAATAATTACCAGATTTGCTGTCTGAATCTGGTGTTACAGAGCCTCCCCATGACCATCTCTTCTGTCGCTGTTCCAGCCGGTTGCTACGTTCCAAAGTACGGTTAACCATTGCCTCATAATGTTCCTATTTAACATTTAAAAATAAATAAGTGCCCATTACATTAGTATTTGACTTTATGTATAGTTTATACAACTTCCCTCCACCCATGCACCCCACACTTCAAGCAAAAACGTATAAAGAATTGTGAGAACATAAATGATCTACCTATGCCTCACCTTACAAATCATCAGAGAATCTCAGAACTGGATGCTATCTCATAGGCCCTCTAGTCCAACCTATACATGTATGGGAAGCCCCTCTATAACATACCTGACCAGTCCTTGCACTGAAAATAACGTCTCATAAGATCTCTGATGTCTAAAGCTCTTTCTGTAGAATGCTGCTAAGTTCTAAATCTAACCACATCACTGGCCTTTAAAGTTACACTTAATTACCTATCCTAAAGAAATATTTAATACCAGGATGACAAAATGCTAACATTAAACTAAGAAAACAGTTGAATAAAATTAAAATAGATGGCTAGAATAAGATATTGAAGCAAATAAAATTGGAACGATAATACCTATGCATTAGTAGTAACAATATTACCTGAATACTGGCAACCAGAGATTCAATTAACTAATACTGTGTATGTAAAATGAAAGCAAAAGTATGGATATGTAAAAAGGCAGTAATCGCTTCCAATTTATCTTTCTATTCAACAACGCCCAATCTGCATACCTCCTATGTCCCTATAGGAAATACAAATCAAATAGCTTTTATAGTATCTACTAAAATAGTAAATTAAAAAGGTTTTTTGAAGAAAAAAGTTTTGGAGGAAAAAAGCCTATCAGAAAATTATAATGAGACCCCAAACCATGAGTAGAGGTACAGATTTTAAATACTAGCTTCTTGTTTTGTTTCTTACTTGTTAAGAACTCAGGGCTACCCTACAACCATAATGTAAATGTGTACCTTGCTTTAAGCAAATCTATTATCTGAAACTATGACTTTACACATAAGGTACAGGACTTCCAAGCCATTGCCTCTCAACAATCTAAATTCACCCCTTTTCCCCTACAGCCCCTCACCCCAATCCAATTTTTCAAGGTCCAATTAACTCCCAGTAGCCAATCTGGGGCCCAACTGAACCCTTCCCTTCTTGTTAGCATACAGAACCTACTGTGAGTATCATACAATTAGTTTAAATATTTAATTTAGCACTTAATTAGATGCTGTCTTATATTGTTTTCAAGTACAAGAGAGTAAGGTGTGGTGGAAAGAATACTCAACTCAAAGTCAGCAGGAAATTGGGTAGAAAGCTTTTCTCTAATACTGTGGGACCGAGGCAAGGCACTTAAACTGAGCCTCAGTTATAATATGACGCCTCTTGTGAGGGTCTGATGAGATAATGTATGTAAAGCACTTTACAAATCTTTACGTTCTATGTAAATAACGTCTTATATTATTATTGTCATCATTATCTCCCTCCCAAAAAAGATTGTGTTTTAAAGGCAGAGCCCGCAAATATATAGGAGGATTCTCAGTTCTATACAATAATTAACAGCAGGATTCCTTAAACAGCAAAGTCCCTTTGAGCATTAAAAATATAGCTCAGTTTACATACTTTTTTTGGGGGGGAACACACTTCATGAAGGCTGTCACATTTCAGGCTTTAACTGGTTAAAAAATTAATCTTCAATAATGATAATCAATTTGAAAGCCTTGCTCTAAATTATAACAGACATTAGTAATAATAATAATAAGAAGAAGAAGAAGAATAGCAATAGTAGTAGCTAGCATTTATATGGTGCTTTAAAGTTTACAAAGTGCTTTATGTTATCTCATTTGATCCCCACAACAACCCTGGAGATTGTGATATTATTATCCCCACTTTAAAGATAAGGAAACTAAGGCAGATAGAGTTTGACTTGCCCAGGGTCACACAGCTAGTGAGTGTCTGAGGCTGGATTTGAACTTAGGTCTTCTTGACTCCAAATCCAGCTCTCTGTCCAACAGGCCACCTAGCCACTTGTTAGGGTAAAACTATAAGTCATATAGACTGACATGCCATACAGAAATTTTTTTAATGTTGTTTCCAGAAGTGAGTATGATGGATTTCTTGTCTCAAAGATTTTTTAAATTTCACTATAGCATGCTTAGAATACTCAACTAAACAAAGCCAAACTCAGGGACAGAAGGTCTCTAACTCTGCCCTGACAATAACAATACCACAGCAACACCATCCCTACAAAGACCCTAGGTAAAAATGACTATTTCTCTGGGGGCTAAGATAAAGCTACTGAAAAAAGAGGGTGGTTTATGCCTTTTGAAGAGAAAAAAATTCAGAACAGCAGACATCTCAGAAGCAAAGAAAAACAGGTGAATATGTCAAAGAATATCAGCAATCAAGAGTTTAAAATATATACAAACACACACACATATGTATTTAATGAAAGGGAGAAGTCACCTTTCATTCTACATTATAGACGAACACTGTCTATGATAAAGATGAACACAGATTTTTATGTTACATTATAAAAATACTAATAATAGCTCACAATTCCCCAATTCTTGATCATTGAAAAAGCACTGTCTTCAGCAGTAAAGAAAGAGGCAGCCTGAGGATGTGAGGCTCAGCAAGTTCAGTGACTGGACCACATTCCCAAGCAGAGGAAGGCCAAGCCAGGACTCAAAGAAGGACCTTTTAAAAATATTTTCATTAAAATTTTTTTTCAAGTGTTGGTGTTTAAAAGGTATCCTGAAAACTTGGCTATCTGGAATGACATTCCCCAAGGATTCCAGATCATTTAGATTTTACTTTAGCAACAGGAAAGACTTTAGGGGTACCACCATTTTTCTAGTCACCCAAGTTCACACTCACCACCCCTGCAGGCAATCAGTTGCTAAGTCTTGTTAATTCTGCCTCTTCAGCATCTCTTACACCTGTCTCCTCTCTACTCACCACAACCATGCTAGTTCAGGCTCTCATCACCTCTAGTCTAGGCAACTTCAACAGCCCCCAATACAGGTCTCCCTGCATCCAGTTTCCTCTTAACTTCATCCTCCACACAGTTGCCAAATTTATATTCCTAATATGGAGGTTTGACCAGGTCACTTCCCTGTCTATGAAGCTCAAGCGCCTCCCCTCCGGCCTCTAGAGAATGAGTTTCTCTATTTGGCATTTAAAGCCTTTCAGTCTGGCTCCAGCCTCTTTCTTCAGACTCATTGCACCTTATCCCCTCCTCACCCTACATACTTCAGCTGTACTACATATACTATACTGTACTGTACTATTTGTTGTTCCCAACATAAGACACTCTATCTCCCATATCCATGCTTTTATATATAGGCTGTCCTGGTGACCTGAATGTTCTTTGCCTTCCCTACTTCCGTGTCTTAAAACCCTTAAGTCCTTTCAAGAAGCCTTTCCTCATTCTGCCAGTAGTTAATGCTCCTGCAAATAACTGTGTATTTTGTGTGTGCACACGTGTGTATGTATGTACTTATCTGTGAACATGTATCCCTCAAGAAGAATGAAAATTCCTTGAAAGCAGCGACTATTTAACTTTTCTATTTATATTACCAATGCCTAACACACAATAGGCACTTAATAAATACTTGATGAGAGGCCAGACCTATTATTATTAAAATCTAGAGTGTTAACTCCAGTAAAAATATAGGACTTTCTGAGGTTGGCTAACACTCATTAATGGATGCAGAAATGGGAAAGATTAGGGGGAAAGGGGCCAGGAAATTAGGGTTGTCTGGAGGACAGTAAGGAGAAAATCTCAAATAAATCTTGTCACCATTCAAGTAAAACACTAAAAATTCTAGGCAGCTTACATATGGCCAAGTGAGAAAACTCAAGGTCAGAGAGAAGAGCAAGGAGCTTGGGACAAAATCATGCAGCAATCCTAGTTTAGGGCCCTGAGCTGGCCTAGCCCAGTTCTACAGCCTGGTGTCCTTAGCCCAAGTAGCCACCATAATACAGCAGGCAAACTGCAGCCCAAGTCCATTAGCTGGACAGGCATTTACTCTCCAAGCTGAGAAGCACTAATCATGAAGGTTCCAGGTCTCAATATCTCAACAGATATAACATGGAAACAAAGGGGAAAAGGGAAGGTGCGGCAAACCTGGTTTTCCATATGAAGGACTGGAAAGAGAAAAGATAAGACAGAGCACGAGGCTATTAGAAAAATCTCCCAGATGTAGAACACAACAGTGGCCTTGGATTATTTGTAGCATATTAGAAGAAACATTTCTACAGCACCTACTATGGGCCAGGCACTGTGCTAAGCACTTCACACATATTACCTCATTTGATCCTCACAACCCTGGGAGGGGAAGATAGGTGCTGTTATGATCCCCATTTTACAGATGAGGAAACTGAGGCAGAGGTGAAGTGACTTGCCCAAGGTCACCCGGTTCAGAAGTATTAAGCAAACACGTAACACACCTTTTCTTCGTCTAACTTTTGCCGTCTTTTCTCTTCTACTGCTGCTCGTCGTTGCTGCTCTTTCAGCTTCTGTTCTTTTATCTTTCTCTGTCTTTCTTCTAGCTGTTTTTCATACTGGAGTCTTGCCTTTTTCTCTTTCTCAAGTAACTGTGTTTCTTTAAAAGCTACAATATTCAAAGCACATTGTTGACAAACAAAAATAGAAGAAAAAGCAGGCTTTCTTTAATACACCGAGAAGGAAGAAGCAAATGCCATTCCCCCTTTTCCTAAAACAATACAATCTGCATATTAAGTCAAACTAGGTGTCGCTGGCTAATTGAAGATTCATAAGTAAACAGAAACAACCATCAAAGAATTAACTGCATTATGCGTTCTCTACCAACTGTAGCTGTAGATCTCAAACATGTGAATTCAATTTTCTTTTTTGGAAATCTGGCAACTTAGCCTGAACTCAAATTTCAACATAAATATTTATATGGAATGTTTAAGTTACATACCTACCACAAAGTCCTACTTCAACGCTTCACGTGGCTTTTAGGTAACTCTGGGTCCTTGAAAACGACAGTAAAGTGCAAACTTTGACAGATTCTGCTAGGAAAGCTTTGAGTACAGGTCCAGACTGCCTGCAACCCAAAGACCAGTCTAAGGTATTATCAGCAGGCTGGCAACCAGGTGCTGAACTCAAAATGTTTGACCATGACAACCCATCAAACAGTGACAAATAAAAACCGTCATTAGTAAGGTGTGTCCTACTTCAGCTTCTGCAGCGAAGGGGCAAAGTGGTGGAAAAGAGAGCAGAGGGTGCTAAGAATTCCACAGGACAGAATAAAACATCAACTGGAAATCATGGAAAACAGGAGAGGCACCTCCTGTTGGAGACTAGAGAAAGGCAAATGTCCCAATTTACATGAGAAGAGAACAGAACCTATAAATTATAGGTCAGTGAGCTTGACTTTGATTTTTGGGAAAATTCTGGAATAAATCATTAAAAAGGTGGTTGGCCAATACGTAGAGAGGAGAGTGGTGATTAGAAAGAGCCAACATGGTTTGTTTGTTTTTTTTTAATCAAGAACAGGTCATGGCAGACTGACTTCATTTCCTTCTATGACAGGATTTTTAAAATAGATGAAGAGAATCCTATGGATATAGTTTACTTAGATTTTAGCATTGTTTTTGACAAAGCATCTCAAGTTATTCCTGTAAAGAAGATGGAAAGATTAGATGGATTAGAGAACAACATAATCAGATGTATTCAGACCTGGCTGGATGTCTGGACTCAAAGAGTAATGACTGATTCAATGTCAGTATGACAGAAGGTCTCCAGAGGAGGGAGTTCCCCAAGTATTGATTTTTGACCAGGTGCAATTTAACATTTTATCAATGACTCAGTTAAAGGCATGGAAGGGAGGTTCATTATGTTTGCAGATAACCCAAAATTGGGAGGGGTAGCTAACACTGTTGGAAGAATGAGGATTCAAGAGGATCTTGACTGACTACAGCATTGGGCTGAATATGGATTTCAACAGGAATAAATGTACTCTTACACTTGGGTGCAAAAAAACTTAAAACTTCACAAGTATATAATGAGAGACGTATGGTTATATAACAGTTGTTCTGAAAAGATCTGGGGTTTTAATGGACTATCAGCTCATCAGGAGTCAGAAGAGTGATATGGCAGCCACAAAAACTACTATGAATTGAGCTGCATTAAGACAGGCATGCATGGCTTCTAGGAATAAGGAGGTGATAGTCCCATTATACACTTTCCTCATCAGACTTCCTCTGGAACATTGTGTTGAATTCTAGGCACCACAGTTTAAGAAGGACATAAATAATAAAAAAATTTAAAAGGACATCTGTTGATAAACTAGATAGTATAGGGGATGGGGGGATGCCTCACCCAGGATGGTGAAGGGACTTGAGTCCATGTCATGTGAACATTAGTTGAAAGAACTAGTTTTGTTTAGCCTGGAGGGAAAAAAAGAAAGAATCGAGGGAGGCATGATAGGTATCTTCAAGGACTTGATGGATTACCATGAGGAGGAGGCAGTAGACTTTTTCTGTTTGGCCCCAGTGGACAAATCCAAAAATAAAGGGCAAAGAGGCAACTCTAAACTTGATGTTAGGAAAAATTTCCTAACAATAAAACACTGTCTAAAAGTGGAATGGGATGCCTCAAGGGGCATCCCTCCTTGGAGCTCTTCTGCACCACCACCTTTCAAGTGTGTTATAGTGGAGATTCCTTTAACATATGAGTTGGACTAGATAGTCTCCAAGGTCCCTTCCAACTTTCAAATTCTATGATTTCATAGTACAGGATTTGAAGCATATTAACATTCTCACTATAAATGAAAAAAGGAAAACTATCAGGAAATTGAAGCTAACTGGAAGGATGCCTCACAAGTTTCTCCTTGGACAGGCAAATAAAGGCATTGACAGAGTTGTTTCAATATGTGTCCAGAGACAACAATAAGCATCATTTCAAGGGACAATTGGGCATTTCATTTTCCACTGTTCATAATGGCATAAGCAAAAGGTAAACAAGAATAATTGTAACTTATGTTTCAACACCTGTTGCAAGGATGAGAAGGTAAAGAAATTCCAAGAACTCAATTAGCAAGCCACTAAATTAAGTCAACATATACCTTAACACCTAGTGACTTAGATGCAAAGGTGGGTATAGGGGAGAAGGTTGAAAATACATCATAAAATACAGTCCAGGAGGATTAAGAAAAGAAAGAGGCTAAAGACTTGTAGACTATACAGAAGACTGACCATGATGTATCATGAAGACTTTCTTCAAGAGGAGTCAGAAGGAATTGGACATGTCCTACTCTCTTTATCACCACAGAAAATGAAACTGACTATTATTAAAGACAGACAGGCAAAAACTTGTTACCAACGTGGGGAGCATTTCAGAATCAGCTCTCTGTAGAGACAAACAACTTGACAGAACAAAAAATAAACTCAAAACCAAATCAGTCCACGTGTATCATGGACAGACACTTGAAGACAGAAAATAGCCTGGGCCCAAAGTGAAATAGTAGAATGAGAGCAAGCTGGATTGCTTTTTGGCAAACTGAGTAACTCTTCACAAGCTGATCCCTGAAACAAAAACCCACCTTTATAACACTAATATTTTTCCTAGTGAAGTTATATAAATCATATAATACTGTAAATAATGAATACTGTGATCTTCCAAGAATCAAAATGGCAGGTGACCTAAATGGCAATGGAAAGATATGTGTCATTGTGTGTGTGGTGGTGGTGCTGGTGGTGGAGCTAAAGTATATTACTAACAATGACTTGCACACAAGAAGTGGCATATCCAAAAGATGCACAATCAGTAAAGCTGGGGGGGGGGAGTGGGGGAGGGAGTGGGGGAGGCACGGATGATCATGTAATCAGAGCAAGAGATAATAGATGGGAAACCTAAATGCTATTTAAGAAGACATCTTGACCACATTTAGTGGGCTCCCTATGGTGAATTTATCAGAGAAAAGAGGTACACAGAATAAGAATGTGGGGATGAGTAGTGATCTGTACCACTAAAGGATATAACTACACAGATCACAAATATAATGAATTATTGGAGTATAACACTCAATGCCAATTTCAACTGAAGCAAAAACCCAGACCAACATATGATATTTTAAAAGGAGACTGACTTCCCCTTGCCCACCTCCCAAAATGGAAATGGAAGGAATTAATGTTTACTTTCAATAGCAAGCACCTTCTATAGACTTCATTTTTAAAACTATATTTAGTACTCTAGTTTCTACACTCATAGAATAAGTCTGATAACACATCAGACAAAAGCAGAACATTGTACCCGGTCCACAGAGTTCCGCACTTAAGAAGGCTAGGTAATATCTATGCAGTCCTAAAAAAAAGTCTTCCACTTTGCTCCAGAGAGCTGTGCCATCAAAAACTAGGGTAATTAAGAATTCATTTGGATAGAGGCAAGTACTAGTTTTGCCAGGTGATTTGGGAGGCAATAGAACCGAGACATAGTAGATGCTGTATTCTTTCTGGCTATAGAAGGATTCCTCATTTAGATCCATATTTCAATACTTCAATGACTGTGACTTCATTGGGGGGGAGAGTACTGCCATCACCAAGGTAGCAGCTCACAACTTCCCTATTGCAGCTTTTCTGGCTTTGGAGGAACTAGCTGCATGTGCACTTCACTGCCACAGGCTTTGAAACCCAGAGTTACTCATCTCCATGCTACACTGAGGCATTGGCGTAGGACTTTAAATCTTTATTTCTAACCCAGGCTTTAAATGAATAATTTTCATTTATCTGGTGCTTACTCTGGGTAGCATTACTATCTCCATTTTCTAGATGAAGATGCTGAGACTTAGAGAGATGAAGGGGCTTGCCCAAGGTCAAAGAGTAATTAAGTGGCTGAGATGGCACCATAGGCCAGGCTTTCTGCCTGATGGCAAGGCACTTGCCAGTATGTCATGCTAATTATTCAGAAGTGGTGCCTTAGAACCAAAAATACACTATCTAAATGCAAAGTATTCTTTATAAGCAAAGTAATCAAAAAGAGACATGTTGTATCTGTATTAAGCATCTTGGTTCTTCAGAATTCATTCTGCTAGCATTCCATCTCATTAATGTTAAGATTCAAGTAATTTTAAAATCTCAGTCTTAGGAAAATAAAACTGCAGTTCTCCCTTTCCCTTTCTTTCCTAAAATAGAAATTACCCTTTCAGAAAGTTAAATAATCTAACCTAATCTAACATTTCCCCCTGGGTTCTCAATAGCTAATCTCACATCTGTGTGCGACATATTATACAACATGAACAGCTTAGCAAAAAGCAAATAAGCCATCCTGGAAATATCTAACCCTGACATGATCACAGACAGTCATTTGGAATAAGATCACACATGGAACCTGTAATATACCATATTGTCTTTCTCGCTCTTCTCTGCGTTCTCTTGCCAGTCTTTGCCTTTCATCAGATCTCAGAACCGAGGCATCTATCACTATATAAAAATAAATGGACAGAGAGTTAACTGAGGGTATTGGCATTTAAGAGATGACAATTTGAGAGCTATTACAAACACTGCATGACGTATACCTGGCTTAGTTGATGACTTTATATTTGAGGGGTGGGCTAGAACAGCAGCGCTGCCACTTTGGTTTCTTCTTTCTTCGGCAACTGCGTGGGCTGCAGCAACTGAAACAGACATCAAGAGGAAAACAAGGTTTGACATGTGGACTTTCACTACATGGAAATCTCTTTGGTGACCTACTTGTTCTACATATCCAGGACCATTTGTCTTCAGTTGGCCTTGCAGGATAGCCAGTGTTGGTATGTAGGCGAGTGTCTCTATGGGGCCAAATCTGGCTTGAAAGGTACAGGCCACTTCATTTACTATGTGGTTATAAAGCAAGAGAAAACACACATCACCCAGAGGAAGAAACAAAACTCTTTGTGTCCACTATGACACTCCACAATCCCATCCTCTATCTACTCTAGCTTCTAGCGAACAAGTCCATGGGTTGCTCTAACTTTTAATTACAGAACATTATAGAGTGGAAGTAACCTTAGAAATCGCTTGTCCAACTGTCTTCATTTTATAGAAGAAACTGAGGCCCAGAAAAGAGAACTGATGGAGCCTTAGCACCACAGCAAGTTAGTGACACAGACAGAGCTAGACTCTGGGTCTCCTTCCTGGCAGTCTGGGATGAGATAAAATGAAAACCAACAGGATTTGCTACCTGGCTACAAGAACAGGCTTCTGTTTTTCTTACTCAAGGTTTGATGATGCCTTCCTACGAGACTAAAATACTTGCTCAAGCAGAATTTTGACCTGATGCCCTTCCTTATTAAAGTCCTACTTGCTTGGAAGAGTTTAGACATGCTAAAGACATGAATATCTTCAATTTTCTTTCACACCTATCTTTTGCCTTTTTAAAAAAATTTATTTAGTATTTTATTTTTCCCCAGTTACATGCAAAAGTACTTTTAACATTTGTTTTTAAAACTTTGAGTTCCAAATTCTCTTCCTTCCTCCCTCCCACCCCCTTGCCACTGAGAAGGCAAGCAATTCAATATAGGTTATACATCACATCTATCTTTTGAAAAAAAGGTATGAAAACAGCACATTGAAGCTACAAGTATAGTTACTGTCATTATCATGTCAGTAGGAGACTGTCCCAGCTTGGCAAAGTCTACTACAAAAGCCAGTCTTCAAAGCATCCTGTAGTATTGTAATGTTTTTAAATATAGTTTCTGACATGCAAAGTGTATTATGATATTCCAGAAAACTGTTTTTTAGGCCTCTCTGAGACCAGTAGGAATCCCTTGCAGCTGAATGCCTCAACTCCAGATCTGTTCCTTCCTTCTCAGTACTCCCCTTTACTGCCTTTTCTGTAAAGTTCCAAACTCCATGAGTGCTTTCCCTATTTGATTTTCTGGCTAATGCCTCATGTCTCCATGACTATACAGAGATAGGAAACCAATCAGATGGGCTGAACTCAATCAAGGATGCACAGAGGACAGCCATGCTGGATATAACACAATTCTGAAGGTGTTAAGGGATCAATCCTTCAGAAATCTGAAGGAAAGAAAGCCACCAAAGGCATGGGGGAAAAGAGTCTTGAACTATATTATTTATTACTAAAATGAGGTGAATGAGAGAACATTAGGGCCTGAAAACCCTACATTCCTAACTATATAAAACTTTTATGAACAAAACCGACACACAAATTGAGGGTATCACTGACAAAGGAATGAAAAAGGAACAGGAGGGGCAGCTACGTGACATAGTGGATAGGGCACTGGCCCTGGAGTCAGGAGGACCTGAGTTCAAATCCGACCTCAGACACTTGACACTAGCTGTGTGACCCTGAGCAAGTCACTTAACCCCCTTGCCTAGATAAAAAAAAGAGAGAGAGAGAAAAAGGGACAGGAGGACAGGAGCTCCAGGTCACATGACCAACAAGATGGAGGACTCTCTCCAATCCTCACATCTCAAATTTCTCCTGAATAGGAATTATGGGCAAGAGTGTTCAATTTCAGCTGTCTCCATTGGCTTATCTAAGATACCAAGAACCCTAAAGAGATAAGCCAATGATCTGACAGCAGAGAAGGCTAACCCCTAAAACCTAATGTACAGTACTCAGCACCCCCTCTCCCAACTGCCACCCAACTCTGGCAGGGATGCACCAGAACTCAACTCCCTCTCCCTACCCCAACACCGGGCCACAGAAAACCAAAAGGCAGGGAAGCTTCCTCTGGCTGAGACTGCTGCATGGCAGCCCTCTGTACTGCAACAATACTCCAACAGAGAACTGAAGAAGAAAAAGAACGTTCTAGTAGGTCTGAGGGGAGAGGAGAAAGGTGACAGGGAAAGCACCTAAGTGGAACCAGTTCTGTCCCCCTGGAAGTCAATTGGAGCAGAAACTTAGACCAATGAAACATGAATTTCCCAATGTGGGAAGATGCTGAGTGAGCTTTGAGGTCCAGCCCTGGGTAACTACTTTCAAAAAAGTAAAGGAGTCAGAAAGTGATAGGATCATATAAAGGAGAAAGACTTAAATGACCAAAGATTTCAGGAAAACAAAAACTCAGTTAAAGATCTTGAACATAAACAGATAAACTAACAGCAAAGGTATTAACAGAAGGGAAGATAGCCTCCAGATCATCTAAACAAATCCAGACATCTCTGAATAAATACTGCAAGACAAAGGAAAACAAGTCAGAGGACCCTGTGGATTCCCAGCAGGATGTTCCTGAATAGTTTAAAAGAGAAATAAGAATTGTGAAAGCAGAATTTATGGCCTATATGGCAAAAATAATTGGCAGAATAGAAAAACTTGAATCCACAGTGGCAAACCTCACCAAAGAAACAAAGAGAGAACCAGTGCAAATAAATTGAAGTGAAGGATAATACAGACGACAACCAAAAAGCAACAACATTAAAAGAAGGGAACAGGCAAACTTCTATAAAGAATATCCTAAGGTAGACCAGATCATTAGTCCCACAACTGACTGAAAAATGGAGAGAAGCTAAGTATTTGTTGATTATAAAATAGCATTTGATTTTATAGAGCAAAACAATGCCTTAAAGGTTCTTCCCTCCAACAGTGTCCTATGTCAAAATCATACGAAATTCCTTGAAAAAAGGCTTTAAATGCCAGGCTGAGGATTTTGTATTTTATCCTAGAAACAACAAGGATCCACTGAAGACTTCTGAGTAGGGAAGAGATGTGATCAGACCTGTGTTTTAGAAATACTAATTTGGCAGCTCTGTGGAAGAGTGATTGGAGAGGGGGGAGCCTGGAAGAAGGGAGACTAATTAGGAGGCTATGGCAACAGTCCAGGAGAGTAATGATGAAGTCTGAAGTAGGGGAGAAGCTTCATGACTGATGAGAACGGGACAGATACAGGAACTCTTGTGGAAGCAAAAATGACCAAACTTGCCAAGAGCCAAGGAGCATGCCGTTAAAATCACAAGAACCAAATTATAGTCAGGCATGCCAGATTTTAATTAATTTTTTAAATGTGTGAATCACTCACTCCCACCCTTGAGATCATTGATCCACTGAAGTTAATCACTCGTTTGTCAAAGCCTCCAAGCATATGTATAATGATGAAAGCAGACAAGCGTGTTCTCTTAGAATCCCCTACTTGTCTTGGTACCCTTGGGATTCAAACCTCAGGGCTGTTAGCAAAAGGTAACACAAATTTCATTTCAGAGTTTCTTCAGAGAAGGTTAAACCCCAAAGTGAGGAAAGTTCAAACTACATAAAGCTTTACAGATTAAAATCAAACCCTGAAAATATGCCTGGAAGCAAGTCAGTTGCAAAGGTAGGTTATAGAACCCAATTATACCATGTTCTGTATAATCAATGCAGACACACTACTCTATTCTATATAAGCTGCCAGTTTCAGAAGGTCAAGGGTAAACCCAAGTAGAGCACTAATTTAAAAGCTTGGTCAACCCCCAAAAGATCAATTTTTAAAAGAGACATTAATCTGTGAGGAAAATGAATTTTTTAAAGGCACTCCCTATGCCTGCGAACCAAGACCCACTGTGAACCAAAAAGCAACCTTATTTTCAAATACTAGTCTAAAAATAAAGTTGCTTCTTAATCCACAGGAGGGTAGGAATTATAGGAGTCTAGATAAAATGAAATGAATAAAGAATGGAAAAATACAAGTTTGGGCAAAAAACTTTTCTATAATGAAAATGTAACAATGGGAAGGCATTTTAAAAATAAGAGACTGTGGCTATGGAAATACTAAGTTTAGAGAAACCTTGTAAAACTAAAACTCTCTCACATGGGGTTGGAGGAAAGCTGAGAAACTTTTTTGAGGAACTATTTACCCAATAATGTTCAATTCCAGGATGAAGTAATATATCACAATGGATCAAATCACCAACAATAAAGGGTCAGTTGGATTAGAGATCACAATACACAAATTGTTTTTAGAAGCATTTAGTACATTAAAAAGATGACATGAAAAACCTGAGGTCTTTTCTGAACACTGAACGTTTGCTATTAATGATTTTCAGATTTAGAGCAATCAAATGCTGACTCTTTTCCCTCTAAAAAACCCATCGAACTATCCTACCTAAGACTTTGCTCTAACAGGGTACAACTGAAGGCAAACAAGCTTGGAAGAAAGAACACTTCTCCATGACAACTAGTTCTATCACAGTAATAATCCTCCCAAAGCTATGCCCAGGAACAATCATCTCAAAGAGCTTAATCGCAAGTGATGCCAATGATAAATACTAATCACAATACTTATTCAGCAATTCTAAACTGTCACCCACAGCTGCTCCTCTTCAAGTCAATGCCTATAAAATGTGCAGTTACAGCTCTATATTAGTTCTCTTCAGAATCTTGTCTACAAAAGGAAAAATAAGAAACCAAAAAAAGTATTTTTATTCAGTAGCAAAGGGAATAGTGAGTGACTAGCAAAGATTTAGATTGGAAGTTTTATGAATAAAAATGGAGGAGTCACAACTTCAAATAAGGTTTTGGTTGTATTTACTACCCCAAGAAATTAGTTTGCTTGTTTTTACAGATTAATTGATTTTGTACTTACTACTGTTTGGATAGCAAAATGAAAATAAATAGCCACCACAAATTAATTTATTCAGTTCCCAATGGGCAAAGGGTGCTTGGCTCCAGGAGTGTTTATTCTTACTTTGGGGGTGAGGGACTTGTTAAACTCCTTCCAAAATACATTTGTCAC